ACCACTACCAGTACCAATGAAAAAGATAAAAATAAATCAATAAAACCATCAAAATTGTCACAAATGATTCAATTTCTTGGCTGTTTACATTTATGGGGACTTGTATTCCTCTTTCTATTGACAAAAATCCTTTTACCTATCACCTCTCTTGGCCAGCGTCTACCCTATTTACCATTGATGTTGACTTCGGTGTACACAGCGTTCGGATTGTTTTGTGCATTTTTTATTTTTATGTGGCCAACTACGACATCAACAGCAACCACCGCCACCACCACGACAACAACAAAAGAAGGTAAATCGGAGGTAATGAAACCATTCGATGTCATAAGTACAGAAAAGGTTAAACAGCAAGATCAGCAGGAGCAGAAGCAGCAGAAGTCGAAGAAGACGACAAAGTCGAAGAACAAGAACAAAAAGAAACATGAGTAAATGTTGAAAGAAATTTTGACTTGTTCTCTAATATCTCTGCGTTATTTTTATTTCTCCCTCTCTGTGTATTTGTGTGTTAATCTGTCTAGTTTATTTATTTTATTAGTGGATATTTCTTTTTGGGAAATTGTTTTTTTCTTGTGATAGTACAAAATATATTTTTTGATACATTTATAATAATATTATAGTTATGTTGTAACAACGGAAGACAAGGGCTAGGCAACAGATCGTTTATTTAGGAAATCAACAGATATTTATAGATTTCCATGTACAGTATTATAGATTATTGTAAGCAAACAAACACAGTCTTCTGATTGGTGGTTTCTCGCTGAACGTTAATCTGTCATCTCTTTGTGGGCGTTTCTTGAATGTCAGATCATCTATCTGCAAATTGTATCCGCCTACGCAAAGTCTACTGTAATTGGTTGTTGAGTCAGTCTTTGTTCTTTTATTTTTCTCATGACCAATATTGGGGACATAAACATTGACGTAAATTACTATCTACCAATTTTGGCTAGCAGCCAGCTCTCAACACACTCGTCGCGCCGTCAAAGACTTTCGACTGAAGTTGGTTCGGTCTTCTTTGTTTTCAGGGGCTTTGTTCGTTTGTCTTGCTGTCTGGAATCTCGTTGCTCGCTGATGTTCACCTGTTTCTCTTTGTTTACCATTGCGATTGTGTCTGCGTGACCCCATCTCAAAGTGACCCTATGTGGTCCTTCCCACTTTGGAAACTGTTTGCCTGACCCTGTCGCACATTCGTAGGTATTTCTCCCCTCACTTTCATATGCTGCTTCCTCCCGACTTCCCAGCAGCGTCCCAAGTAACAGCCTCATCGCTGATAGGTCTTGAACGCCACTCAACTGCGAAGAAGCCTCAAAGTCCTGCCAGAAGATCCATATGTCTCCATCAAAAACTGCAGGGTATAGGCTTTCCATTTGTTGGTAGGCAGCGACACCAAATATAACACCAGAAGACAAGGGGCAGGCAACAGATCGTTTATTTAGGAAACCAACACATATTTATAGATTTTCATGTACATTATTATAGATTATTGTAAGCAAACAAACACAGTCTTCTGATTGGTGGTTTCTAGCCGGACGTTAATCATTCATCTCTTTGTCGATTGATTTCCCCCCTTATCTAGAAATCGACCGACGCCTCACCTCAATATTGCTCACCCTATTACACTACTTCACACGGGAGATAGAGCGCAGCCACCTATCATCAAACACAGCTAGCCGGCCTTTTCATGTCTTCCACTTTCAATGGCCAGGTCTCACGGCCATAAAGGAGGACGGAGAGAACTACTGAGCAGTGCACACGCTTTCGGTCGATAGCCAGTCTGATATCACGTCGTCACCGGAGACGGTGTAAACTGGCATATGCAAAACTAGCCTTCTGTATCCGTGCTGAGACTTCGTCAGCGACCAATCCGTTGGCGTTGGCTGATGCAACTTCCCAAATAAGTGAAGCCGTTTATTTTTTTATTTATATAGATACACTCTTATATTCTCTAACCAATCTTTGAGTGTGTGATCTTAGTTTACATTAAATGACATGAAACAGAATGTTCAAATATACATATATAATATTCTGTTGCTAATGCTGTATTGAACTGTAGGGGAATATATGAGAATAATATTCTGTTGAAACACATTGTCTGTATCACACCACTACACTCGTTCCCCCCGTCAAAGTCTTTCGACTGAAATCGATTCGATCTTATTGGTACTGGCGGCTTTGTTATCCTGTCTTACTATATCGAGTTCCGGAGCTAGCTGACATTTACCCGTTTCTCTTTGTTTGCATTTATGATGGCATATACGTGACCCTGTCTCACGGTGATCGTGTATGGTCCTTCCCACTTAGGAAGCAGTTTGCATGACCCTGTCGCACATATTCGCCTCACACTATCATATGCTGCTGTCGCCCAACCTCCCAGTAGCATTCCAAGTAACAGCCTCATCGCTGACGGTTCTTGAAAGCCATTCAACTCCACAACGGAATCGAAGTCCTGTCAGAAGATCTATATGTCTCCTTCTGCAAAAACTGCAGGGCATAGGCTTTTCATTTGTTGGAGCGACACCGAATGTAACTGCAGAAGGCAGGATACGGAAGCCAAGGTATATTTTCTAGCGACCAAACAGCTATTTATATCTATACAGTTTATATTTTTAACCAATCATTGAGCGTGTGATTTTGGTTTACATTGAATGACATGAAATACAATGTTCAAATATACATATATAGTATTCTGACGTGAAGAACCTAGAAGACCTGGATTTCGCGCGTGGATGATTTATGTTTGATGTCACACAAAATCGAAGACTTACAAGCGAAAACCGACAAACTGGTCGAAGAAGCAGCAAAGACAGGACTCCAGGTGAACATAGACAAGACGGAGGTTATGAAAATAACCAACCGACCAACAACAACAACAGCAGCATCCAGCGCCAATCACCATCAACGGGAAGGATTTGAAACAGGTTACTTCATTCACTTATCTAGGGAGCATTTTGTCAACTACAGGCACTCGGAACGGACGATGATGTCAAATCGAGAATCAGGAAGGCGAGAAACACATTCATCCACCTGAAACCAATCTGGAAATCTTCGTCACTCAACACAGCATCAACAACAAAATTCGGATTTTCAATACAAACGTCAAGTCAGGTTTGCTATATGGATCAGAAACTTGGCGGCGGGTCACAAAGAATATTTCCAACAGCCTGTTGCAGACCTTTATCAACACCTGTCTTCGCTCTATACTGAAAATCAGATGGCCGTTGGAAAGAATCACCAACAAGAAACTATGGGAACAAACAAAACAAGAACCAATCTCCCAACAAATATGCAGGAGAAAGTGGAGATGGATTGAACACTCGCTGAGGAGGCCGTTGGGTGACATCGCGCGTCAGGCCAGTGCTCGAGTGGAACCCGAAAGGGAAGCGACGAGTAGGACGTCCAAGGGTGACATGGAGGAGATCGTGTGAAGAAGAGTTGAAACAGTATGAACTAACATGGATGCAGGTGAAAAATACATCAGAAGACATAAGCAAGTGGAGATGTGTAGTTGAAGCTCTATGTTCCACTAGGAACCCAAGGTAACAATAATAATAATTCTGTTGCTAAAGCTGTATTGAACTGTGAGAACAATATTCCGTTGTCTGTATCACACCACCACAGTGTGTGACTGCTGATTAGGCTAGGTGTTTGACTTACAGCTAGCTAGCTAATGGACCCTGCTCCACCTACATCAGTTTGTTGTAAAGTCAAGTTGGAACAAACAGTAATAACGCCTTTGAAAGTTATCAGTGGTGAACAGTGTTATCGATCAGAAACCATATCAGGATGCTTTTTCTCTTCATTTACTTTGTATCCTGCCTGAATGGAACATTAGACTTCAAACGTCACGCTCAATCTTCCCTCAATACTACCACCTCACAGTAAACTAGGCCGTTTCGAAGTGTGTCCACAGGAAACCGAAACTGAACCTCCCGGAGAGTGCAGGTGGCAAGCATTCAATTAACCACTAATGACAAAGATGCAATTTAACTACTAGGAAGTATGGAGGCATACATTCCTTCACAGTAGTATTCAACGAATTGCCTACCAGCTTTAATAGGCCTCCATTCATTCATAATCCTTTTGACACTCGGTCGGTCGGTTTTCGACATAGAACTTTGCACATATGTGCGGCAGTTCAAGTCGCCACACTCCATGTAGCACACAAAGCTGCCTTTAGGTCAAGAAATATAGTGATTGTCGGATGCCGGTAGGAATGCCTATGTTCTAGAATCTGTCGAAGGGTGAAGATATGATCAATACACCCTCTTCCTGGCCTAAAACCTACCTGGTTTTCTCGTGTTTGTGCCTCCCGAGCACCACTTAGTCTACGCAGTATTATTGAGCCTAGGATTTTAGATACTATATTAGTCAAGCTAATCCCTCTGTGATTATCACAAGAAGATTTGTCTCCCTTCTTGTATATCGGGATGATCAGTGACTCACACCAACCCGATGGGACTTCCTCTGATTCCCAGACGCTGCCTAGAACCTCAGTTATTGCAGACAGTAAACTGCCTCCACCGTACTTTTAAATACCTCTGGAGTCAATCCATCAGGTCCCGCTGCTTTGCCTTGCTTCAGATTAGTGGCTGCTCTAGCAACCTCAGTTAAGGACGGAGGACCTGTGTCTATATCCCATTCAGGGAGGTGTTGGATGTTCGGCAGGTTAAGTGTGGCTGTGGGCCAATTAAACTGCACCTCATAGTGTTCTTTCCAGCGCTCCAGACATCTATCCTGGGAGCTAATTATGGTGCCATTTTTCTCCGAGATTGTTTCGCTTATCATTTGCCTTTTGCCGCCTGTTTCCCTGATAAGCCTGAATAGTTGTCTGGTGTTGCCAATCGCCGATGCCTTTTCCATCTCTTTCGCTTTTGTCGCCCACCACTGTTCACGGTCCTTTTGACACTACAAACATCTTTCTTATCTAAAGGGTAATCTCTGGCAATAGGAATGAATTTACTTAAAATATATAAAATAAAAGTCTATATTCACAAGAAATTTTGTACAGTATAACAATTATAAAGTATTGTAGGCTAAAGAGATACGTCGACTGAGAGCTGCTCCAAAACATCTGAAAAGAAAAAAGAAGGAAGAAATAATTAAAACTATAGACGTATTACTACTGGTTGTGATAGTTTCGACAGATGAATGTAGTGAGATTGGTAACCTGTGCAGATGTACCTCACTCGTTTAAAAGTACTCGGTTTTCAGTCAGCTGATTCCGAGTTCGAATCCTGCTCTCTAACTACTTCAGTCTGGGCAACTACGTGCCTTATAAAAATAAAAGATCTGATTTATGAATGGCTAACAGCTGACCGGGTCCCGTAGCTCAGCTAGTCGGGGGCCAGCATCTGGTTGGGATACTACCGTGTGACCTAAATGTACATTCCACTTAAACCAAGACTGATTACATAATTATTATGTACAAAAGATTTGAGATTTTCTTGTTCTGCCATTTTATGAGTAAGACTTCAGCCAAAGCTCGGGGAATGAAGTGTTGAGGTCTCGTGGTGGTGAGCATGTTTGCCAAACTATGATGAAGGAAAAACAGTTTTAGATTCGAATACTTGGCAAAAATGTGGCGTTTGAAAGGTTATGAGTATAGATATGATGGATAAGATTTGTAGCTCAGGTAGATGATTTTGATGTATTTGTGCTACCTGAGCTGGAGGGTTTATTTGTGTAGCTTTCATTGCCCTACTAGGCAACATGTTCAGTGCTTACTTCAATTTGTTGAAGTGAACTTTTAAATTTCTCCCCGAGGTTATTAGTCATCTCTCCTGGTGACCTGAACTTGAGTGTGATTCGTTGTTTTTTCGTGTTTTCACACCCTCTAGGCGGTTACTTGTATTGGCATTGGTACTGATTGTTTCCTTGACCCGAAGTTTGACCCTTTGTTGTTGGAGATTTCCTTCTTATAGATTGGTCAATTTTGTCTATGTCAATGTGTGTCTGTTATTAATTGACGACTTACTGGAATACCGCCAGTCTTCTAAAACCATTCTCTGGCATTCTTGGTGTTATTTCCTCTGTCTAATACTTGAATGTTGGTTTGGTTGTCCTAGTCGAATAGATGTCTGTGGTTGTCTGTATGCAACGATATGAGTGAGGGAGTGGATGTCATGTCTTTTGACGGCTAGCATATGATCATGGATACGAAGACGAAGAGGGCGTCGTCCACTTTGGCCAATGTAGTGTTTTTCGCAGTTGTTACAGTTTATTTTGTAGATGATGTTGATTTTATCTTCTTTCGTTGTTGAGTCTTTCGGTTAACATAGAGCCAACTGAGTGAAGTGATTTTGTTGGTTTGTGGGCGACGTCAATTCCTAAAAGTTTGAAGAGTTTTGGGGTGATTTCTTAGACGTCCTATATATATAGTAGGTTATATGGTTATGAGTATGCATGTTCTACACTTTGTTAGGAAGCACTTGTCCTTCTTTACATTCCTTTCCGTTCCGAGCGGAACATAGGGCTTCAACCATTGAGATTCGATTCGGAGTTTCAGTAGCGATCGTACTGCTAACCTTATGCCCAATTTTCCTTCTTTTATCAGGTTTACTAGTGGTTAAGAGAGGCTTAGGAGTGGTGTAAGTCGGAAATCGAATACGCAGAGCGCCATAGTTGGCAAGCATTCTACTGTTTAGCGACAGAAACACACATAAACAGTAAGTTAATTCGAAATACTGAAGGAAGTGTACGTGGATTGGATTATTCTGGTATAGGAAATAGTATCCACAAAGCCTTTATCAAATGACACTTTATCACCACGCAACACTAAAGAGTTAAAGTAGTTAAACAATGTAGAGCAATTTGTTAGCCATGAGGTCATGATTTGGGCATGCACTGCTGACATGATAATCTGATTGGACAGTTTTTGATTCGTTTATTTATGGCTTTAAATCCTGAGATTTTCTGAGTGTATTGTGCCATGTGTTTTGTGTAATAAATGTTGCTACCGGTTGTTGCTATTATTGTTGGTCGGTATCGTCTAATTTTAGTGTCTATCTCAGTCTGTGTGACAACTTCAAGTGATCAGTGTCGCATTCTAGTCTAGTTAGACGGTCTCACGAATCAGTAACATTGTTAGAGAGTGTAAAAACGTTAGGTGCCCAGTTGTTAAAGGTAGATCAAAGAACGCATAAATCTTTGCTGTTGCCTTCGATGTTGAACTGTTTGCACTGACAGAATCAGTCACACATTTCTAACACTGATCACTCCAGTATCTAAAAAAATCCATTCATAGGTATCTACAACATCCCGAAAACTGTATGTTTTCGTATACTTTGCATTGCTGAGGCTTGAGTCATTCGAATGGAATTCCCTGATATATGGACACACAGAAGTAACTTTTCCATTCTCTCCTTCTGCCTTGGATATAATTCACTGAACTGTTTAGTTGTCATTCCCAAAATTATTTTTTAAGGAAAAGTTCTTTAATGAGTCAGACTTAGCTTGATAAAGATTTTGATATTAAACTCCTGACTGATAGCAAGGACTTTGACGTAGTCGTCAGGCTTGCATACCGCAATCACGTAGCAAGCTACGCTGGCTGGAATGAATGTTCCTGCTGGTCCTACCATTCCAGAAAGACATTTTGGATAGCGGTTAGACAAAAGACAGTTACTGTCATAGTGTTGAGGATCTGTGGACGAAGTCACACTGCTGGCGAATAGAAATCTATGCTGCCTCTCAACTATGGGGACGGGAAGGGGTTAGAAAAGGTCGAACCCTAAAATCGCACATTCCAACTTACCTTACGACGGTAAGATCTTAATACGGACGCAACTCCAAAAACCACTTCAGACAGACCATCTGTAACCGGTATGAATTAGTTTTCTCTGGGCTCTGCTGTCATGCAACACTAATACTCTTTTTGTCTCATGCATACACGCACGCACCTCAAGAAGAAATCAAGTTTTATATTCCTAGAGTGTAAAGATGATAAGTAGGGTGAGGTAGAATTGCAGCCTTTCGGTTGGAAGTAGTGTGTTTGAGTCAATGATGAGCTTTTTAAGACTTTTTTCTTCTATTCAACTGTTAACATGAAGTAAAAAACAAGGTGAAAGAAAAATAGTAGAAGTTTAATATTCATCTTTAAACTTACCGGTTTCCATCTGATGGTTTTAAACTGGCCAACATATTGTCCTTTTGTGATGAAGTGAGTTGTGTGTCATATGCGTCCATTAAACTGAAAAAATCAAAACAAGAATATCAATACCATAGGACGATAACTAGTGGACAATGTGTACAGTAGAAAAACAGGATTGGTTACAGGATTTCCTCATGAGCTGACATCGGTTGAAGAACCATTGGAAAACCTGCAAGAAGTACTCGACAGCTATTCGCCAGCCTAGTTTGGGACTCTTCACCAGTACGCACCCACCATCAGAGTTCGAACCCACGACCTTCTGGTCACAAGGCGAGCTCGTAGACCATCAAGCCACTGGGACCCGATCCAATGGTCAGCCCATGAATTCTAACTTCTGCCAATTCACGACATAGCTAATGTCTTCGGCGAGTATTTGTCCTCACGCCTGACCTACTGTATCCTACTGGTCATGACTTCCCACTAGATCCCACGTAACTGACTACCTACTTGAATAGGGTGAGCCGTCAGTGAGCATCAGATTAATATTAACAGCTGTCCAACACTTTATGCTGTGGCACAGTGGTTAGGACTCTCGCCGACCATGCACATGGTCCGAGGTTCGATCCCCTGCCGACGCACACCCAATATCTATGGTCGGCCTGCAAAATTTGGGCTACCGATATCTATGCTGAAAATTCCATACTTGTACTGAAAATACGGTGTGGAATCAAGCTGTAATCAAAATAAAAAAAATAAATAAAAAAATTATGCTGGTTTTTCTGATTGATTGATTGATCGAACTTGAAACCAACCAAATCCAAATAGAACTAACACTTGAATCGGATACTTACCTCGATGGAGTTGGATAATTCTGCAGGATTGATGTGATTTTCGGTCCAGAACAACCAGGTATCTGTAGCAGATGTTTGGCAAAAACATCTCGTACAGTTGGATCTGGGGATTTATTCGCCAGTTTAACAAATTCACCCCAACCCATTGCATTTGTTGTGTTTAACTTTGATGAAGTATCATTTGATTTGTGATTGGTGATGATTAAATCATTCTGTGGAAAAGAAAAAAAATAATAAAGAAATGATGCAATGCAATAAATTATCAGAAAATTGAGAAGACGAAACGGAGTTTAAGACTGATGTACAATCGCCTACAACACATCTATAGAGACAGGACATAAAATTGACATTAACAGATCTTTCAAACCTATCTATAAAACGTGTTTCGGGCGTATCCTAAAGTATGTGGAAGCCCTAGCTGGCAATTAGAAAGTTTAAGCCACCTTTATGCGTTCAAACCAACAATTCATCATCACATTAAACCTTCCTTGGTAAATTTTGTTTTGACACCATAGCAGATGTACTATTACCTCTGCTTTTTGGTTTAATGGTCTTTATTGTTATTTTGACCTTGAATATATCCTTTTAACTTGACCTAAGTGTATTTTCTCACCTCTTACCTCTTTATTAATTTCATACAAACATTCCTATGACAAGTCCGTATTAAATACAAATCCGCAACGAAACAACCAAGCACCCGAAAAATATACTGAGTAAGACAATGAATGCCAGATGTTTGGCCGGAAGGAATGAGCCAACAAGTACCTATTACCCAGCAAAAATGCAGAAAGAAATAGAAGTGGACTGGACACAAGCTGAGAAGACCTTTAAATGACATTGCGCGTCACGCTCTCGGGAGGAGCCCGACTGGAGATTGACCAGTTGAATGTCGGTCAGGAAGGGACATGGAGGAGACCGTATGAGAAATGGATAAAAGTAGAGCCATTCAGAAAAGGCTGTATAGTGCAGAGTGATATGGGGATGTGTTTCTGAAGTCGTATGTTCCACTTGGAACCCAAGGGAATGATAATCATGATGAACGACCTTAGTATGACATAAGGCAAGAGAAGGGAAGATAAATCCAATAAACCTGGAAGACTATTATTATTATTGTTTCCTTTAGTTCCCAGAGGAACTGCACTTCTCCATTGCTTTTGGTTCTCTGTGAAACACCTTCACCCGGCTCCACGTCTGTCCACATGCCTTCATCTCCTCTTCACATGACCTCCACCACTTCATGTCATCCCACCCTCCACTGACGACCAACTCACCGCTTTCCATTCGGGTTCCACTCGAGCGATGGCCTGACGTGTGATGCTTTGTTTTCTGAGGGTATGGCCAATCCAATCCACCTCCATTTCTTCCTGCATATTTCTTGCACAATCGGTTCCTGTTGGGTTGGTTCGTTGATTGCCAGAGATCCTTCCCTGTTGCTGATCTTTTTTGGCCAGCCATCTGATCTTGAGTAGTATTGAGCGAAGACAGCTGTTGATTGATAAAGGTCTGTAGTTTGTTCGAAGTGCCCTACGTGATGCGCCAAGTCTCTGATCCATCTGTGTAGTAGCATTGACTTCATATTGGAGTTGAAAATCCACATCTTATTTTCATTTCCATGCTGAGTGCTGTTGATCTTCACACAGACTTGAGAGTAATGAAAGCTTGTCTTGCTTTCCCGATGATCCTTGCTTTAATATCTTCGTCATTTCCGCCAAAAGGAACGAAATATGAATGCATTTACACCACTACCACCACGACAGATCTTCAGCCACATATCTCAAAGTCTCTAACCGCGAGTGTCAATGTGATCACGTGGTGGACTTCAGTTAGGCAACTTTACTATACAGCTTCTATTTACTTATGCAAGGACCGTTTTCAGTATTCTGACCTAATCCCTAAGTAGGCATGCTCAACATATATGTTCCAGATAATTCATGCGTGGAGGTTCATAACATTTACCAATAGTAAATGGGATTCTAAAAGTTAGCGCTGAAGATGTTGCCCAGAAAGACAATGAATGCTTCTCAACTAAACCAATCATCCAGCTCACAGAACACAAATACAAATATTTTGCTGAAAAGACTAAGAGTTTTTGACCATAGTTGTCTCCGTAAATCAGTAGATATACATTGTGCTAGGTGAGGAAATAAAGTTTTTAAAAGCAGGCTTGAAATCTCCAATGACCAAGGCAATTGGAATATGGGTTATCCTCTGACTTAGATGTTCCCTTGTTAGCTGTAGAATGAATTAGATTGAGGACTATTGGCAGATTTCGTTCACATTGGCTTACCAAGTGAATTTCTTAAACAACTATTATTGAGATGCACACTGAATGTGCAATTTAAATTTAATGATGTCATCTACAATCAAAGGGATGGAGTCGCAATAGGGTCTCCTTTAGGACCGTTCTTAGCGGACGTCTTCATGGCAAGCTTAGAGAATGGCCCACTGAAGGAAACCACCGATAGTTTGTTTATGTATAAGAGATACATAGATGATACCTTCATTGTATGTGATGAAAACTCTTCAACTACCGAACTTCTTGCAATATTTAATGGTTCTCACCCATCTTTGCTTTTCATAGTCGAAGGAGAGTCGAATTCCTCATTTCACTTCCTTGATGTTAAGCTAGATAGAAGAGAGAATGGCACGCTATTAAGGTCGATTTACCGAAAGCCAACATTCACTGGGCAGTACACTAACTTCAAAAGTTGGGTACCGTTAGGGAGAAAGAGAAATCTTATTCATTCCTTATGCTCCAGAATTCGTAAAATCTGCTCTGCAGAGATAATCGATAGTGAACTAGATAAGCTTCGATCAAATCTCCTTAATAATGGTTATCCTACAAGGTTTATCGAACGTAACATCAAGAAAGAATCCGCCCCCAGACAAATCACAGTGCCAGTGAAAAAACTGTTTATGAGTCTGGCATTCAAAGGTGACACAATTTCGGAATTGATTAAAAATCGTTTATCTAAATGTATTAAACGTACTTTTCCTGCAGCTGACTTACAACTAGTTTTTACCAGCCGAAATATGATTAGACAATGCGTCAAGGATAGATTACCGCTTTTGTCCACATCCATGTGTATTTACTCTTTTACCTGCTCTTGTGGAGCGGTTTATATTGGACGTTGTAAGCATAATCTCCGAAAACATGTAGCTGAACACTATCCAGTCTGGTTAATGAAAGGCGAACGTAGAACTGCGAAGTCGTCTATCTGTGATCACCTGTTAGAGTCAGGTCATTTAGCCCCACGTGATTCATCTTTCAAAGTTATCTACATGGCAAAATCGAATCGATCCAAAAATGTACGTTTTCTTCACTTATGCATAGCCGAAGCTTTAGCTATACATGAACAGAAACCTAAATTATGTGTTCAAAAACGTTTTGTCAAACTCCTTTCTTTACCTTGGTCATAGTAATGTTCTTTCTAGTTTTTACTTTATTTTATTTTACCACTTGAATTCTTTCCACTTCACTTCACATCTTCATTCTTATCGTAATCGTACTCCTAATTTTAGAATTTTTAGACAACACTTGACAGTTTCAAAAATCTTTTGATATCAATTCACTTATAAAACAATCTTTAATAATTTTGCAATTTATCCACTTAAACTCTACGTCATATAACATTTTAATTATCGTTATTCTTATCACATATATCTGTATATTGACTGAGCAATTATTTAGTGCCACTTAATAACCTTTTCTGTAGTATAAATACGACTGTACAGCTTGAAAATGAAGTCGTTGAAAAGAAATTTCTTCGCTGAACAAAAAGACAAACTGTGTTTTTATTTATGAATAAATGGGTATTTTTCGAGATTCCGTTCAATTGGTTGAATAGTGTAAAAACCTTGATTCTGAGCAGTTCAAGCTTAAACAATATATATATGTATACACCAAAAAGAAGATAAGATAACTTACTGAACCACGTGATTGTAGTCTACGTGAAAGCATGGCTAACAGGTCGACAGTATCTTCAGGACCTCTACTTGTCATTACTTGAAAACCATCAATCACCTATAAAAAAGGGAAAGAAATTCGTTTGATTATTTCAGCAAAAGATGAGCGAAAATATTGATTGGGCAAAAATTTAAAAGAAAATATTTAAGTTTACGAGAGAGAACAGCCAACTCTATTGATATGTAGCTTTACAACTGTATCGATTAACTTCCCCTCCATAACTAAATAGTATAGACTTAACCTTAGTATTTCTCATCATATTATACATGGATGGGAAGAATCGAGAACATTGCTGAAGATCTTTTATCATTCACATTTGTTAAATCCTCACTATTATTCTTCGACGGGGACTGCTGGGTAACATGAGGTTAGACAGGAAAAGTCGTTGACAGCTGGTTTAAGCCAGTCAGATACGGGGGAGGTGTAGAACTCCTCAAAATACTAAAAAACTAATGTCTGGAGTCGATTAGTGATATGGCTCAAAGTCATTGTCAATCACGCAGTTGCATTCACTTCTTTGTCATCTCTTATTTCCATTACACCCCCGTGTATTTTCTTGTTATTATTCACCGATGATATTCCTAATTGTCGTGGGTTGGATTATACTCAGACTGTGCACAGGGAGTGAGAAGACAGGAATACCCTGTACTGACCTATGAGAAGACTCTAGAAGATCTGAGTTCCACACATTGATGATTGATGTTTAATATCATACAAACTCGGAGACTTACAGGCGAAAACAAACAAACTGGCAGAAGAGGGAGGTAGCGAAGAACAGGACTCCAGATGAATATAGAGAAGACAGAGGTGATGAGGATAACCAACTAACAGCAACAACAACAACAATAACAATCAGCACCAATCTCTACCAACGGGAAAAATTTGAAAGATGCTACTTTCTTCACTTATCTAGGCGGTGGCACAGATGAAGATGTCAAAGCCAGCCAGAATTAGGAAGGCAAGATACGCCTTCATCAACCTGAAACCAGTTTGGAAATCTTCTGCGCTCAGTTAGTATAAAGGACAAGATTCAGATTTCCAACACAAATGTGAAGTCAGTCAGTTCTTCTATACGGGTCAGAAACTTGTACTGCGTGTCACGGACAGGATTTCCAACAAGTTACTGACTTTTATCAACAGCTGCCTTCTCCGGCTTTATACTCAAGATAAAATGGCCAGTCGGCCAGAAAGAATTAGCACCAAGAAACTCTGGCTGGGAACAAATCAACAGGCAAGAGCCAATCGCTCAACATATATGTCGGGGAAAATGAAGGTGGATTGGGCATACGCCAATGAGGAGGCCGTCAAATGACATCATCCGCAATGCAGGCCCTCACTCGAGTGGAATCCGAATGGGAAGCGATTAGTGGGTCGTCCAAGTTTGACATACAGGAGATCGTCTATGGAGGAGGAGATGAAAGATTATGGGCAATCATGGACCCAACTGAAGGGGACAGCACCAAGTACAACAAAGTTGAGATGTATTATTGAAGCTGTGTGTTTCACTCGGAACCCGAAGGGGATAATTATAATAATATATTCTTTTTCTCGTACATTTCTGCTGGTTAAAGTTTTATTGAATTTTTCTTTTTTTTCTGTTTCTTTGTGTGATAGATGGATAGTATCAACTGGTGTCAACAGCTGAACTTCTGTGCAGAGTTCTACTTTTGAAACTTAGTCAGTTTCCAGTGTGAAGTGGTATAGTAGGTTAAGCAACACTGAGGTTCGGCGTCGAGTGCTAGGTAAGGAGTGGAAATCAATACACGAGGCTGTGAAGCTACACCGACTGAGATGGTTAGGATATGTGTTACGTTTGTCTAGTCATCGTCTTCCTCGACGAGCGATGTCAGCTGACATAGGGTCAGGTTGGAAAAGAGCTGGTTAGTGGTGGTCAAACGAAAACATGGCACCAGTCAATGAATTCCACAACAGTTAGTTTAAGCCACGCAGGAAGGTGTACACTTCCTGGGTCCTCGGGATAATAAAAGGCAATGACTGGAGACCATTGGTGATATGGCTCAAAATCCTCGTTCTCAATGGATGGCGCAGATGCATCCACTCCTTGTGACTTATAATACCCAATGAAACTATACTATTCTTGGTTATCACTATTCCTTTGTCTCATATCCCTGTCTACTGTCTCTATTTAGCATTTCCTTTAACTTTCTTCTCTTACTTTGTGTGATACATGGATGGAGTTTAGCGACTCGAACTGCTACACATCGATGCAAATTTCTATGTTGAAAACAGACAGACATTATACTACTTAACAAGATCAATGCTAACTGGACCATTCAAGTTCCCTAATTTCAGTAGCAGTGTCTGACAGCCATAAGGAGGGACGGAACGAAGCGTTGTGTAGTACACACGTCTTTTGATTGATATCCACATACCACGTCTCCACTAGATATGACTATATTATATCATAGTATAAGTTAGTAAATGCCACACCAGCTTTTCGTATCGTCAGTAATCAGTTCCTTAGGGTTGATGCAACTTTCTAAATAAGTGAAGTGCTGGTCAACAGACTCTACCACTTCACTCCTGCATATCTTTAAGCCAGGAGTGACTCGAATATAGTCCAGTCCTGCAACATCATTTTACATTTGACAGGAGCATATCGCATGCCAAACATTTTTGCTCTAGGTGTGTGTTCAGAAGACTCTGCATTTTGTCAGCATCTCCACCTAGGAGGGAGGAATATATCATCTGAAATATTCCAAGTCAAAAAGATTATTCCCAGATAAAAAGTTAATCCCTGGGTGGTTGTAGTCAATGAATAGCACATCCATGGATAGATATTGGATTAAAGACTATTGGCTAACTATTTGAAATTGATATAAGCATAAAAATTGGGCACTATGGTAGAGTATAATTCCATTATAGATAAGATTTTACTTTCATAAGTCACACAGTGTTGTACAGTAATATTTACTGATGATCACATTTCGAGCACAAATTATTGCTCATAATCACACCGAGTTACTCACACAACTTTTTACTTCATTTCTATACATGAGTAAATTTTATGATTAGACATTTGAATAAAAATCAATATAAGATGACAAAGTACATTCGGAAATAATAATATGAGTGTTATTGATCAATTACAATCAGATGGGTGGTATTCAAACCTATAAACTCACTCAGGTAGGACAAGCTCTGAAGGCTAAAGAACCTGGTGGACCCAATTAAACAAAATAATATAATCTACAAAATACTTTGCAATGAATGTGTGTTAAGTCAACTATATAGGTCAAACTAGTAGATCACGGGTAGTCAGATTGTCGGAACATAAGAATTTAGCTAAGGTAAGAATAGTTGACCCCGAGAAGATAAGTAATTTAGAAACAAACTCAGCACTACATTGCACTACATGCATTAACATACAACCACACAATAAGGTGGGTGGGACAGAGTCAAAATTTCTAGAAAGTAATATAGGTAGGTAGGTAGAGAGAGAGAGATTGATTACTGAATACTGACTGGTTCATCGAGTCTACAGCAAGCAAAACATACGCAATAGGAGTGACTCAATGCAAATACCAGAGATATGGAAAATTTTATGACCATCGGTCAAATCAGAGGAGGATAATAAATAATCTTAAAATTCTATTTCAATTCATGTACATCATAACATTCTAACAAGTTACTTATTTTGACTATGAAAACACTCGTCTTATTTCCCATCTTATTGTATCATATGGATAACACTGGTATTATTTCTGAATGTACATTATCCTATATTGATTTTTATTCAATATAAATGAGGCAAGAAAGTTGTGTGATTGACTTGATATGATTCTGAGTGGCAATGATAATTTGTGCTCGAAATGTGGTCATCAGTTAACATTGCTATATAAAACACTGTGAGACTTTATCAAAATAAAATCTTATCCACATAATGGAGTTATTTGAAATTGCTCACATCTTTAAATGACGACTAGGTCAATGTCTACTTCAACGTATAATTAGGCAATAAACTTACTTGTGTATTTGATATTGCTTGAATTAAAACATCATAAGCAACTTTTTGATTATGCATTGTTGAACACTCTTCAATCAAGTAAATTGGTTGTAATAGGCCTGTACGTTTTAAACGATACTGTGAACAAAAATCAAGAAAAAGCCAAAAATAATATACTGAAATCGTATATAGAAAGTGCTTGGCATGAGAATAACGCAATTACAAAGTAAATATTTAGACTTATACTGTGGTGTATGTTACTAACACAAAAAATCTTGGAGGATCTGGATTTCGACGATGATATATATCTGATTTCTCACAAACTAGAAGATATGCAAGTGAAAAGCAACAAGTTGACGATAGAAGAAGCATCCAGAAAAGATAGAACTTCAGGTGAACATAGAGAAGACAACAATCAGCATAAATCGTAGGAATGTGAAAGCAACCTCCTTTACATACCTAACTACTTAACTGAGAAGCATCGTTTCAGCTACACTTAGACGAAACTGATGAGGATATCGAAGCGAGGATCATCGGGAAAGCAAGGAAAGCTTTCATTACTCTCAAGTCTGTATGGAGGTCAACAGCATTCAGCATCAAAAATAAGATCCGGATTTCTAACTCCAATGAGAAGTCAATGCTACTCAATATACGGATCAGATACTTGGCGTATCATGAAGAGCACTTCGAACAAACTACAGACCTTCATCAACAAATGTCTTCGCTGAATGCTACTCAAGATCAGATGGCCGGCCAGAAAAGATGAGCAACAGAGAGGGATCTCTGTCAATGAACGAACCAACCCAACAGGAACCAATAGTGCAACAAATACGCAGGAAGAAATGGAGATGGATGGTCCATACTCTGAGAAAACAAACCATCAAGTGACATCACACGACAGGCCATCGCTGGAGTGGAACCTGAAAGGGAAGCGGCGAGTTGGTCGTCAGTGCAAGGATGACTTGAAGGAGGTCATGTGAAGACTCTAGCAGAGAACAGAACGCAATGGAGACGTTTGGCTGAAGTCCTATGTTCCTCTAGGAACTAAAGGAAACAGTAATAATGTTACTAACACGATTTTGTGAGTAGTATATTTTGTTTTTGATGACTTCCAGAAGAATACTGAACAAAGGAGAGACAGATTAAGTTGAGAATAGGAGAGATGAAAGATCCTTATGAGATCGTATGTAAAAAGTATAAAATGAAGAACTTCGGCATATACAAATTTCAATATAAATTTAAGCATTTTGACATAACTGTACATCATTTCTCAAACAATAATTCCTACACTAAAGATTATTGTGTTCTGTCGTTACAATACTATTCATTTAAAAGCTTTAGAGTTGCGAATTAATGGTTTAGATACCCAACTTCCAACTGCCAGCAGGCTTTAGGCCAGGTAGAGGGTGCATAGATCATATCTTCACTCTCCGACAGATCCTAGAACATAGACACACTTTTAGGCGTCCAACAATTGCCATATTTCTTGACTTGAAGGCGGCCTTCGACTCCGTGGATAGCTAACTTACATCATCTCTGGCGTAGGCGTGACATCCGACTACCAACCAAGGGACGTCTGTACTGCTCAGAAGTTCGCTCCGTCTTTCTCTATGGCTCTAAAACATGGCCAATACGAGTTGAAGACATGAAAAGGTTGACTGTTTTTGATCATAGATGTCTACGATCTCTTTCTCACGTTAGGTGGCATAATAAGGTAAGTAATGTTGACGTTAGGCGTAGAGTGTTTGTTGGGCAAAGAGGGAAAATCAATCAACGAGGCTATAAAGTTACATAGATTGAGATGGCTAGGTCTCGTGCTGCACATGCCTAACCATCGCCTCCCCCGACGGACGGGCATTACTAGCTGATATAGGTGCAGGTTGGAAAAGAGTAAGTGGTGGCCAAACAAAAACATGGCCTCATCAATCCATGAAATCCCTGACAGTTAAACTGAGTCAGGTAGGGAGATGCAGACTTCCGAGTTAGGGCCCTCGGGACTCTAAGAATCAATGGCTGGAGACAATAGGTGACATGGCTCAAAATCGTTGTCAATGGCTTACGCTTACGCAGATGTATTCAGTCTCTGTAATCTTTCATATTCCTTTCTACCATTACTCATTCTGTTTCACTCTTCTACTTGTCAAAACTCTATTGATTCTCTTCACTCATTTTCTTGTCTACCTTTGTGTGCAATTTGGAAGGTGGCAAGTCGAACTGCTGCACTTCGGTGTCAAGTTCTATGTTGAATCCAGCCAGCCATTCCAACTGCCTGGCTAAGAGTTCGAACCCAAAATCATTAGCTTTGATACAAAGATATGTGACTTGTTACCAACTGCATGTTAATGCAAATGGTCATTACGTAACACATGAAAGTCTCAATTCCACCAGATTATTTGTAAACATTCCAGAACAAAAATATGCCCTTTTCACCAATGTGCGTCGATAGCACAGAGGTTAGGACTCTCGCCGACTATGCACATAGTCCTGGGTTCGATCCCCTGCCAACGCACACCTGATATCTATGGTCCGCCTGCAAAATTTAGGCCACCAATATCATATGCTGAAAATTCCATACTCGTACCAAAAAGTACTGTGTGGTTTCAAACTATCAAAAAATATGCCCTTTTACTGGAAGATTTTCTTCATTCTTTGAGTTTTAAGTGGAACCTAAGGCTACAAAATTTTTGAAGTTGCAGTTACGACGGTGTTGCTTTTTTTAAACGGGTAGAGCTGCTAGTCTGAAGCCTAACCTTACATCTTTATCAGAGCTTATTATTCGCTAGAAACTAGGAAGCGTTTAGGAGTGTGTAGGCCGGACACTGACCCCGGTTCACCATGGTAATCTTTATCCGACTATATTATCAAAAAGTTGTGTAAATTATTTGTCTTCTTACCCTACAAATCACTCATAATTTTGATCATTTTACTCTGATTTGACACACTGGGTAATAACTAGTACCATGCATCCTTTTCTTTGTTTCTGGGATAAACTTTGCCCTTGCATAACACTCTTCGAATTGACTTATATAAGTTTCATATTGATAAAACATCCTGTGTAATAACTAGTTATCAGGGAAATATTTCGGATTTCCTGTGGTGAGGTATTCTCGATACGGGAAGAGTCTTCAATGGCTGGTTTGTAAGGATTAGATTTGTTTTTACGAGTTGATCACGGATTGTTATCAGTTAGAGAACCATTGAAAACCAGCCGTGGAGTACCGTACAGCTGTTTCATCCTAGTTTGGGAATCGTCCAGTTAAGTGTGAAGATGGATGTCCCAGCGATGACATTGGTTGGTGCCAGTCGCACTAAATCACGAATTGGTAGGAGTTAGAATTCATGGTCTGGCCACTGAATCGGGTCCCAGTGGTTGTATGGTATACGAGCCAGCTTGCCTTGTCACCAGAAGGTCCTGGGGTTCGAATCCCAGTGGGGTGCGTACTGCAGATGATTCCCAAACAAGGAAGAAACAGCTGTCCAGTACTCCAATGTTGGTTTTCAATGGTTCTCTAACTGATAGCAATCCATGATCAACTCGTAAGAAGAAGAGTCATAATTTAAGCAATGGAATGCATAGGCTCAAGGCTTCAAAGTCGTTCAAATTTAACATAGTGGAGGATTGAACTGATGATTACTGGCTAAAGAGATATTGTGGTCAGTGGGTTTTTTTGTGTCGGCCTTTCAATGAATGCTTATAGATGAAACTAGTCGGCAGAGAATTGCCCAAAGAAAGAATTTATGGGTCCTCAGATTCCAATCTAATGACTGTCAATACTCAACGAACCCGCCTCGTCCCCCCGAAGACCTAGATTCGACTCTTGGTGGGGTCATCGATGAGGAGTCACAAACCAAGACGAAACAGCTGCCCTATGCCCGCTAGTTCTCGAGGGTTCTCCAACTGGTTGCTGTGCATGACAGATTCTACAATGAACTGAATCAAAATGCCCACAAAATCTGAGGTTTGAATACCTTATGAAGAGCTTTTATTGTCAGGCAGTACAGAGAAACACATGGACAATGAAATTTATTAATCTAATGTTGTGATGTCATCTAACATTAAACTTTGAGAGGGTGATGGCTTTTATTCAACATATAGTCACTGCTTAGTTTCCAATCAGTGTCCATTACAGTCCTACAGGAGGTCCATCGCGAGTCCAAATAGCTCAGTGGTAACCTCTCTGATTGCAGTAATGGTTGATATATCTTGTTGAATAGTCAGTGCCAGCAAGCACGAAGTCTAGTTACAAGACTTCCTGCTGCCGAGTTTCTCCAACCATCCAATGACAATTTGGAGTCCTTCAGGATGGTGAACCACTTATCATGGTGGTCAAATTACAAACTTCACTGATAGAATTCAGCCCGCACGAAACGAAGAACTAGAAGCATGACATTAGTAAAGTAGATAGGTGATGGTGCAGTGAGTTACACGTTTTAGTTAATCAATCCTCTTTTCTTTTATAAAGTGCTAGTGAACACTGTAATACACATTGCGGATAAGTTACACAAATCCCCACAAACCAACACTTGAAGATTATTCCGGTGTTCATTATTGCCCGACTACAGAAGAAAGTTGTCTGGAGCTCTGGTGAGCAGTCGGGACCAGTGGGGACCCCACCAGATCGAGAGTGAGGACAAATACTCGTCGGTGATATTGGCTTGTGGTGGGCCAATGGATTCCAGCTCCAGTGGTTGAATGGTTAACGAGTTTGGCCTCGTCACCTACAGGTCCTGGGTCCAATCCCCGAAAAAGTCATGCGTGAGTAATGCCACTGAAGAGCCCCAAACTGGGACGAAACATCCGTTCAAAACTCCCCGCTGGTTTTTAAACGTTCTCTACCTGGAATCAATCTAAAATCCAACTCGAAACATATCAAATCCCTACAAAGTGAATCTTGAAAATAGAAAGGGAGACTAGTTAAAACAAGGACGTATACATAAACAACAACCTTTTGTTCTGTAAATCGTCCATCAACAATACTATGCGCTAAATCATCCATTCTTTTACGTTCAACAATTTGATCCAGTACAGCTTCCATCAATGAATCTGTGGAAACAAATAAATAAGTTAGAAAAGAAGATTGCATTGTTTTATGTGAGCGAATCATTCCTTCAGTTATGAATATAAAACATTAAGGCCTTAGCGAAACATCTCTACTGAATTCAACTGTCTGTCATTACTTTCAACTGACATTACTATTGCCAGAAGCTTTCATTTTCTCCTCACACGACATCCACCATGTCACCCTCGGATCAACACCCAACTACTGCTGCTTCCTATTCGCATCACCCATAAGGGCTTGTTTTATTTGTGTTGTCACACAACGGTTTCTTCAGGTTTCTTTTATTCCTTTGAGTCCCGAGTAGAAAATAGGGCTTCAAGGTTGGGCTTAGGAAGTTTCAGTAGCAGTGCTGTTTTTTTACAGAGTGGGGTTGCTAGCCTCTGTCTGTCTGTCTGTTTTCAACATAGAACTTTGCACCGATGTGCAGCAGTTCAAGTCGCCACATTCCCTCCACGTACCACACAAAGCAAGAGAAGAAAGTAAAAGCAATGCAAAATAGAGACAGTAGACTGGGATATGAGACAAAAGGAATAGTAATATCGAAGAACAACATAATTTCATTGGAAAGTATAAGTCACAAGGAGTGGATGTATTTGCACTGTCATTGAGGACGATTTTGAGCCATATCACCGATTGTCTCCAGCCATCATTGGTTTCTACCGTCCCGAGGACCCCAACCAGGAAGTCTGCATCTTCCTACGTGGCTTAAACTAACTATTGTGGATTTCATCGACTGATGAATCCATGTTTTGGTTTGACTACCATTCACTAGCTATTTTCCAGCCTGATCAATCCTATGTCAGCTAACATTGCCTGTTGTCGAAGAAGGCGATGACTAGTCATGCGTAACACATGTAATTTCACAGCCTCGTCGATTGATTTCCCCTCCTCACCTGGCACTCGACGGATGCCTAACCTCAATATTGCTCACCTTATTATACCACTTCACACGAGAGATAGAACGCAGGCACCTCTGATCGAAGACAGCTTATCTTTTCATGTCTTCCACTCTCAAGTGCCAGGTATCACAGTAATAAAGGAGCACTGAGCGGACTGTTGAGCAGTACACCCGCCCTTTGGTCGATAGTCGGATATCACGTCTAGCAACTAGCCTCACACCCAACCCCCTATCTTTGTCGGGCTTAAAACCGGCTAGGGGAGGTGAAGATGTGCACCGGCCGGCAACCGAAACCCCGACCACATGCATGATTGGCAAGCATCCTGTGGCTAAACTAACGACACACAGCTTCTTCAATGGATGTCCAATACATCTCCATTTGTATATGCATATTTTTCAGGTAATAAATTACTGATATCGTTGGTTGGTGGTTCACTGTTAAAAATCCTTTTTACTCATTCTTTCTAAATGGACATCTAATCTTCAGTAACAATCCACGGAAAGGAGTAGTGACGGGAGTCTCTAGACACCTGATGTTGGCTGGCTAAAACCAACTGTCAAAGATGTCATGCACTGATACCATACTTCGATTTGACCACTCCTCACTCTTTCCCAACCTAAAACCTATCTCAACACAATTTACTAGACGAAGAAGGCGACGACTTAGGTTGTGTGACACGCTTTCTAGCTACATCGATCAATGTAGCTTCACAACGTCATCGATCGACTTACCTTTCTTACCTGAAACTCTACACCTAAATTCAATATTAGTCACCATATTATATTTCTCAAATCAAGATGTGAAGTCCATGTAAACATACACAGAAAGAAGTACAGGAGGAGAGAAGAAGAGAGAGTAATTCAATAATAGTGAATGCAAGATTCTGATCTTATTTAATCAAATGTGTGCGACAAAGATAACTGAAAGTTTGGAGATCTAACAAAAATGGTAAATGTCGATGTTGATGAACACTAAATGAACAGCAATATGGTTTGTTTATTTGAACTGATCTCCATTTGGCGGAAAACACAACTATGTTGGCCGTTGCCTAATAGTACACTGGTTGGAAAAAAGACTGGCGAAAAACGATTGGAAGTGTTACTTTGTTTTATATTAACGTTTATTTATAAACTTTGTGACCCCATTGTTGTAGTTCACTGTCTTCTATCTCCCGTGTGAAGTGGTAGGGGTAGTAGGATGAGCGATATTGAGGTTAGGCATCGGTTGAGTGCTAGGTAGGTGGTAGGGGAAATCAATAAACGAGTCAGTGAAGTGACATCGATTGAGATGGTTAGGACGTGTGTTACGTATGCTTGTCTAGCCATCACCTTCCTCGACAACAGGCAATGTTAGCTGACATAGGATTGATCAGGCTGGAAAAGAGCTAGTGGGCGGTGGTCAAACCAAAACATGGCTTCACCAGTCAGTGAAATCAACAATAGTTAGTTTAAGCCACATAGGGAGGTGTAGACTTCTTGGCTACTGGTTGGGGTCCTCGGGACGGTAAAAACCAATGAAGGTTGGAGACAATTGGTGGTATGGTTCAAAATCCTCGTTCTTAATGGCTGGAGCAGATGCATCCACTCCTTGTGACTTATGATACCCAATAAAACTATATGGTTCTTCGATATTGCTATTCTTTTTGCCTTATATCTCTGTTTACTGTCTCTGTTTTGCATTTCTTTTTAATGTCTTCTCTTGCCTTGTGTGCTAAGTGAAGTTTGACGACTGTAAGTGCTGCACATCGGTGCAAAGTTCTATGTTGAAACCAGTCAGTCAGTTCACTGTCGGTGAAGAAATAAATAATCTTGGTATTGCTAATCAGTTTTCTGATATTCTCCTCGAGTCGGTTACTGCGCATAGTAAGTATTCTGAGGTACCGATTGGTCCTCTAGAATCACCGCTAGGTTTAAGATCTTTGCGATTTGGACGTTTGACAGTAAGTATACAACATAATAATAACACATTCATGTTGATAGATCAGATAACAAACCAAAACATTCATTTGAAAGAGATGAAAAAAATTACGAGATTCAATGAGATTTGAACTCATCCATTGTCATATGAGGTAGGCAAACGTCTATATTTAAATTAATGAACCAAAGTGCTAATATATGATGCATTAAAAAGGATATACACAGTAAACACGAGTGTATACTATACTATACACAGAATAACAATTACCCGATTTATCTCTCCAACGTGCAACCCATAGGAAATCACCAACAGGCAGAGCTCTTGATTCACATTTGATATTATACTTTTGAAATACAGTTGGAAGCATTTGTCTAACTTTATTTGACCTATACATGTATTTTAATATTGTTATATGGACAAAAAAAGAAGAATGAAAATATGCGAAGTAAGGATTAAAAACTCTTTGTCAGAATTATAAACTGCTTTGTCTACACTATATATATTCACAAATTCACTCCTATTGTCACTATTCCTTAGAAAGAATAAGAAGGTAGACTGCGCACTAGCGTTTATAAAAAGCCAACGCATTCTAATAGATTTAATTAAAGTTTAGATTTTCCCGTCGATTGATTGGACCGAAGTGCTCGGTCTCAGGTTGACATGTCAACGAAATGCGCATCCTGGTGGATTCCACTGCTAGTCACCATCCAACAATTAAATTCGAATTACATGCCCAAACATCGTCGAAGCATCTGCACAAGAAGCCGACATGTCAACCTGAGACCGAGCACTTCGGTCCAATCAATCGACGGGAAAATCTAAAATTGAATTAAATAATAATGAATATGACCCATTGCACAAGAGGTGACTCTCGTGGCCCAAGTGGTCTAATGGGTACCGCCTTGGCGTTTGAAACTATGGGCACTGGCTTCGAGCCTCGGTGGGAACATCATCATTCAGTGCGGAATGCAGATACATCCAGATGACGAGTCCCAAATAGGACGAAATGTGCATCCTAGATTCCACTGCTAGTCACCATCCACCAATTAAATACTGTTACTACCTTTGTTATTCTTATCGCCACCTGCATAAACCTTATTATCAATATTTTGTTATCAATACAGTCATCGCTATTAATGATGTTCAAAACATTTACCAAATTATTTTTATTATTACTATTATTATTTGAACCACAAAATCACCGTCACTGGTTAAAAATTTTTATATATATAAATCTACGTAAATTATAGCCTAAAGAAGATCTAATTGAAAACAGCAATATTGTTCGCTTATATGTCTTGTTCTAATATTAAAAATGGGAATATTTAAAGATTCCTGAATGTGGTGGATCGGAAAGTGTAACAGACCCTGGGGGAGCGAGGAGATACGCGCACATGCTGGAAGATCTTGACTTTGTGCATGATTTATGTCTAATGTTACAACAGAGACTCGAAGGTGAAAATCGATAAGTTAACAGAATGAGGCAGCGAAGACAGAACTTCAAGTGAACATAGAAAAGATACAGGTGATGAAGACACTAAAACCGACAACAATCAGTTTCAATCACCGTTGATGGGAGAAATCTAAAGGTAGCCATCTCTTTCGTCTGCAATACAGGTGGCACAGATGAGGATGGCACAAAGCCAGGCAGCTTCAGGAAAGTAAGACAGAGTTTGAGCAAACTCAAATCAGTGTGGGAATCTACTGTTTTCAGTTTGAGACACAAGATTTGGATTTCCAACACTAATGTTAAGTTAGTGCTTCCATATGGTTGAGAGACTTGTTGCAGACGTCACGAAAAGCATTTCGAACAGGCTACTCTGAAGACTTTCATCAATAACCTCCTTGGCTGTCTCAATACTGAAGATCAGATGTCGAGTAAGGATCACCAAAAAGAAGCAGCCATTAGTCTATTGCCCAACAAATATGCAGAAGAATATGGAGATGGGTATGACATGCACGGAGGAGACAGACAGTTGAGTGACGTCAGACGCCAAGTCCTTAAGTGAAACTTGAGTCGGCGTCGATCCAAGAGTCATATGGAGGAAACTGTGTGAGGAGAAGATTAGAGTTTATGGGCAATTATGGAGGCAGTTGAAAAGGATTGCTGAGAACAGGGTGGAATGCAGATGTTATACTGAAACCAGAGAAAATCAAGCGGGCTTTAGGCCAGGTAGAGGGTGCATATATTACATCTTCACTCTCCGACAGATCCTAGAACATAGACACACTTTTAGGCGTCCAACAATTGCCATATTTCTTGACTTGAAGGCGGCCTTCGACTCCGTGGATCGAAACGTACTATGGCAATGTTTGACTATGAAGGGAGTGCCAAGAAAGTACATTGCACTAATCAAGGCACTCTACTCAAACTCACGTAGCCGTGTAAGGGCTTATGGGGAACTGTCATCTGAATTGATAACAACCAGTGGTGTCCGTCAAGGATGTCCACTTTCCCCTTTTCTGTTTAACTTCATCTTAGATATGCTAATGGAAGTATCCTTAACTGAACTTAACGACTTAGGAATCGACTTGTTACCAGGGAATAGTCTTATGGACTTAGAATATGCAGACGACATTGTCCTGTTAGGGGAGGATGCTGACAAAATGCAGAGTCTTCTGAACACCTTGAGCGGCAATCTTCGTATGTTTGGCATGCGATTCGCCCCTGTAAAATGTAAGATGCTGCTACAGAAATGACTGGACTATGTCAACTACTAGCTTGGTGATAGGGAGTGAAGTGATAGAACATGTTGACCACTTCACCTATTTGGGAAGTTGTATCAGCACCAACGGATTGATTGGTGACGAAATCTCAGCACGGATCCAAAAAGCTCGAGCTGCTTTCGCTAACTTACACCGTCTCTGGCGTAGGTGTGACATCCGACTATCAACCAAGGGACGTGTGTACTGCTCATCAGTTCGCTGCGTCCTTCTCTATGGCTCTGAAACATGACCAATACGAGTTGAAGACAAGAAAAGGCTGACTGTTTTTGACCACAGGTGTTTACGATCTCTTTTTCGCGTTAGGTGGTATAATAAGGTAAGTAATGTCGACGTTAGGCGTAGAGTGTTGGGCAAAGAGGGAAAATCAATCGAAGAGGCTATAAAGTTACATAGATTGAGATGGTTAGGCCACGTGCTGCGCATGCCTAACCATCGCCTCCCCCACCCAGACGGGCATTACTAGCTGATATAGGTGCAGGTTGGAAAAGAGTAAGTGGTGGCCAAACAAAAACATGGCCTCATCAATCCATGAAATCCCTGACAGTTAAACTGAGTCAGGTAGGGAGGGAGATGCAGACTTCCGGGTTGGGGCCCTCGGGACTCTAAGAATCAATGGCTGGAGACAATAGGTGACATGGCTCAAAATCGTTGTCAATGGCTTACGCAGATGTATTCAGTCTCTGTAATCTTTCATATTCCTTTCTACCATTACTCATTCTGTTTCACTCTTATACTTGTCAAAACTCTATTGATTCTCTTCACTCATCTTCTTGTCTACCTTTCTGTGCTATTTGGAACGTGGCAACTCGAACCGCTGCACTTCGGTGCCAAGTTCTATGTTGAATCCAGCCAGCCAGCCAGCCAGAAGCCCAAAAGGAATAACAGTGATGATAATAATATATCCTCTGAGATAATCCGACACTCAATAAGTTCAATAGTTTCTGATACTGAACGTGTGTTACTCAAGTTGGAGTAAATGGAGTGGAGTTGAATCCCCCCAAAAATGGTTTAAAGCCAAATATATTCATACGTCGACACAACTCTTTCCAAGAAAATTCTTCCTAATTCAAGATTTGAGGTGTTTTAGATGTCAGCTGGGAGTAAAAGACAGCTGTTAACCAGCCTTCTAGAATGGTAATTAGAAATCCTAGAAAAAAAATTAATAAAATAACTGACTTTAAAACATATAAGTACGCCATACCCGAAATTCTCACGAACATCCGCTAAGAGAATTATCTCATATGAACCCCCTGGAATAATTCGACTGGATAATGGTGTAGACTCGTCATTTTGAGGTTGAAGATTAACATTAATCATGGTGGAAGTACTCGTACTGTTGGTTGATTGTACACTCAAAGGTTTATGAGAAGAAGACTGTTGTGAATGAATATTTTGTGGTTGACGGCCTTCACTAAGTTGACGCGCTAAAATTGGATGTAATTGTGTTGGAGATACCGGTTGCCTTGATGTTTCGGTAACCGAAGAGACAGTATTATTTCGACTTAGTTTTTTCGTTGGCTCTGCACACATACCCATCTCTGAAATGGAAATTCGAATAAAACATCATAAAAGCATTGTATAACCAGGCGTCATTAAATAATCACTAGTTGCGAAGCATAATCTTAAAAGAACACGCCAATGAATTTCAAATTCAAAGGTTAGTTTGTAGGGATTTGATTGATTGGTTACAGAATTTCATCATGAGCTGACATCAGTTAGAGGACCATTGGAAAACCAACGGGGAGTACTGGACAGCTGTTTCGTCCCCATAGTTTAGGGCTCTTCAGCAGTACACATCCACCAGGGTTCGAACCCAGGACCTTCTGATTACAAGGCGGGCTTGCATACCATTAAGCCACTGGAAACCGATCCAATGGCCCATGAATTCTAACTTCTGCCAATTCACGACATAGCGCGACCCCTAGCCAATGTCTTCAGCGAGTATTTGTACTCACACCCGACTTGCTGCACCCTACTGGTCACGACTTCTCACTAGAACCCCAGGTAACTACCTACCTGAATAGGGCAAGTCGCTAGTGAGCATCGCATTGCTATTCAAGTTTTGGTTTGTAGGGATTTGGTTGATTGGTTACAGGATTTCATCATGTGTTGACATTAGTTAGAGAACCATTGGAATTTCAAATTCCCTGAAGAAATTTTAATGCATCGGTTTGCAAGCATTTGATTACGAACGAAATATTCCCATATTGAGTCATAAGAAAAAGACGTAAACAGAGAAGAAAATTTTCCCTTTTCGACGATTTTATTTTCATAAGCTGCTGTACAATCGTAATTATATGCAACAAAGAAATCTTTACAGACCAATCAGATACTGGTTAACTTTGTCCTCGGAAAATGTATTACGTAATGTAAGGGGTAAACTAGAAGGGATGACTAACTGTAAGTTTGATCACGGATGAATATCAGTTGGAGAATTGCTGAAACCCATGAAGTACTGGACAGTCATTTGCATTCCAGCGGCTGAATGGCCGATGAGCTAGTTTCAATCCCCGTTAGGCTCTTGAGTGCATTCTACTGAAGGGGCTCAAAAACTAGGACGAATTAGTTGTCCAGTGCTCGCTGTTCGTCAATGATCCACTAAGTGATGCGAATCTGTGATCAAATGTTTTAAAGAATCTGTAAACAAGAATGAATAATCGGACAGTGTTTTTTTAATTTTTCGATGCCTTTTTCTCTATTTCCTGCTTCATTTCATTTATTGTGTTCGATAATCACTGTCTCAGCAGGATTGCTTGTGTTCGATAGCATCATCGCGTGAGTAATTCTGAGGTTCAGCGGCGTGTGTTTGAACACAGTGGAGATCACTACTCACTGAGTGTCGTCATCTGGAAACACCAGCTCCGGTGGCTTGGACATGTGCTGCGAATGTCATCCCAGAGGCTTCCGTACAGGTATCTGTTCGCTAGCCCTGGGACGGGATGGAAAAGGCGGAGGGGTGGTCAGTCCATGATATGGCGTCGTGGGATGAAGGATGTTTGTGCTAGATTAGCATCGGTTGGTGCGTCACGACTCCCTGGTTGGGGTCCGCGAGATAACCCGAATCGATGGCTCGAAACGTTATAGGATATGACCAAGAATCGTAATCAATGGCGAACGTGTTGCGATTTCCTTCTTTCTTCCCTTCCTGATGATAGTTAACGAATACTGTTTGAACTTGTTAAACATGACTGTTTTCCTTCTTGATGAAGTTCTTTATCCATTCTCTACTTATATTTTTTACTTTTGATCTATGTTGCTTTAATATTATTGTGTGGCGCATCTTTCTTGGTGCCATATTGTACCAAATTTTATTTTGCGTTCAAATAAAATAAAATAATTTGCCTCTATTTGACATAGCTTATTCTGATAAGATCAACATTAAAGAAGACGACAGGTCGGGGTGTATATGAATGTTGGCGGTTTGGCGGTAGAACCCTCATAAACCACGCACGTGGTCCAGGATTGGATCCCCTGCCATTGAAGCACTCCTAAACCTTGCTAAACCAGTAGTAGTACCAGCGGTATAGCGGTTAAGACGCTCGCTGACCATGCACATGGTTCGGGGTTCGATCCCCAGCTGACGTACATCTGATACCAATGATCGGCCTGCTAAATTTGGGCTAGCGATATTACATACTGTGTGGAGTCAAGCTACAATAAAAATAAATTTTAAAAAAATAAAGATGGAAGGTTGGGCTTGAGGCTATCAATCTCATCTTCTAAAAATTAACACCAGTGCTATTGAAACTTCAAAAAGCTCTAGCTTGAAGCCCTTCGCTCCAGCATCGGGAATTTAAAGGACAGACTAATTAACCTTTAAAAAAATGGACAGAAGTGTATCAGTTCAAGTTATCAGACTTTGCAACAGAAAATACAGAAAAAGCAAAACGACAACGCAAAAACGATGCCACAGTAAGCGATTATTACTGTGAGTGAAAAACTGAGGAACAGCAGACCAGACTAGGAATCCATCCCTGAGCGACTAAAACATAAATGTTGTGACGTAAGAGCAAATAATTCGAACGCTGAGATATAATGTGTTCCTTCCAAATAGTTCTATGGTCTAACAACTACCATCATTGTTCCATACTGACGATCAAATGACTAGAAAGGATTAATAACAAGTTAATTTAGCGATGAACTAATCAAGAACTTATTATTGACTAATGAATAATTCAAAGTGAATGAAGAGAGATTTCAACACACACACACACCGGGGAGGCCGCTGAGTGAAATCACACGCCAGGCAAGCCCTCAGGGGGGGGACTCGATAAGGAAACGAAGAGGTGGGCGTAGGTCTAAGAGTGACATTGAGGAGATCGTGGGGGGAGGAAATGAAAGTTGTTATACAATTGTGCAGCCCGATAAAGAGAACAGGACAAAATGGAGAACCCATGGAAATATTAATAAGTAGAATATGATTCCATACTAGATAGATTCATATGATATAACACAAAAAGTCATACAGTGTTATTCAATCTATAATGTTTTGAGCACAATTTATTGCTCATAATCATATTATTAATGTAGTCGCACGGCTATCTAACTTGCTTTTCATAGTCTTAGTCCTTCCTATTATTCACTGACATTTTCCATGCGTCAGGGAGAGGTGTTGTGTTGAAAGTAATTAATATAAAGGAAGGTTTATCAGCATTTAAATTAAAAATATCATTTCATTCATTTCCCTTGGAAAAACGTTAGTGGTGGAGTCAAACCAAAACATGGCCTCATCAGTCAATGAAATCCATAAAACTTAGGATTAAGCCAACCAGATTCATAGGCAGGTGTACACTTCCTGGTTGTTGTAGTTCTCGAGATTCTAAGAACCAATAACGACTGGAGATAATTGGTGATATGGTTCAAAATCGTTCACAATCGCATAGATGCATTCACTCTTTGTGATTAGTCATATTCAATTAAATTGTATTGTCCGCCCATATTACTATTCTTTTTTTCTCTTACTCATATTTCTGTTTATTATCTCTCCTTTGAATCTCGCTTTACTCTCTTCTGTTGGTGTGTGTAGTACATGGAGGGAGAGTGGCAACTTGAACTGGTGACTGATTGACTGGTTTCAACATAGAACTTGGCACCAATGTGCAGCACTTCGAGCCGCCACACTCCATCTATGTAGCACACAAAGCAAGAGTAGAGAGTAAAAAGAAATGCAAAATAGAGACAGTAAGCAGAGATATGAGGCAAAAAGAATAGTAATATGGAAGAACACTACATAATTTTATCGGATAGTATAAGTCACAAGCAATGGATGCATCTGCGCTAGCTATCACTGATAACGATTTTGAGTCATACCAACAATTGTCTCCAGCCTTCATTGATTCTAACCATCCCTAGGATTCCGACCAGTAGTCAAGAAGTCTGCACTTTCCCACGTGACTGGCTTAAACTAACTGTTGTGGACTTCGTTGACTGGTGAAGCCACGTGCTAACTGTTTTCCAGTCTGATCCATCCTATGTCAGCGGCTAAGATTGCCTGTTGTCGAGGAAGGCGATGACTAGGCAGGCATGCGTAACATATGTCTTAACCATCTCAATGGATGCAGCCTCTTCACACCCTTCTCGATTGATTTCCCCTCCCACCTACCTAGCACTCGACCGACGCCTAAGCTCAATATTGCTCACCCTATTACACATACGAGATAGAATGCAGGCACCTATGATGAAAGACAGCTAGCCAGCCAGGCTTTTCGTGTCTTCCATTCTCAATGACCAGGTCTCATAGCCAAAAAGGAGTACGGGGAGGACTGCTGAGCAGTACGAACTGGTGCACATCTGTGCAAAGTTCTACACTGAAGGCAGTCGGTCAGTCATCTCTTAATAATAATAATAATAATAAAAGCTTCATATTCAGGACAAAATGTTCACATAATAAACAGAATTCTCAGCTTGCTTTATTGCCCAATATATCCGCTTTATACAGAATTTTCAAGCAAAACAGCAGCTAATAGTAAGTCATGTGACGTAATGTTGTTCAGTCCAAAGCACAGACTAATCCCTTCACGACACTTCTCCTTCTTTTCCAAGAAATGCACACTAGTAGTTTGAAAACCAATGAAAAATGTGCGTGAGTACATTTTTTTCGACTCAGTGATGTAATTCAATCATTAAAACAATAAAGAATATATATCGGAGAGAAATTTGATGTTCAGGTATTGGTTTGCAAGGATTTGATTGGTTACAGGATTTCATCATGTGTTGACATCGGTTAGAGAACCATTGGATAACCACCAGGGAGTACTCAACAGCTGTTTCGTCAGCCTAGTTTGGCACCCTTCAGTACTACATACCCACACCACCACCACCACGGTTCGAACGAAACAGCTGTCCGGGTAGTTTTCCAATGGTTCTTCTATTCGTTATCACCTCATGATGAAATCCTGTAAAATGTGATGTATTGTGTTGGATGGAAATTCAGGTAGCCCAGTGATTCAAACAAGACACTGTCAGTCTTTTACACATTCCATAATGTCAGTAAAAACAAGTACATGCATACTGTTAAATTTCTTGTTCATACAATGGATTTATACTACGGACTTTTATGAGTTGTGTGGGATTTCGACAGTCTTTAAGCTTAAGATCAAAAAAGGTCAGAAGTGGAATACACACGACAATTACACTTCTAAAATAACTAGTGCACATATAACATACCTTGAGATTTACTTCGTTTAATTGCTGTCTTTGTGTTGTTTGTGTTAACTTTCGAAACAGGTTTAAAAGTGAACGCCGTTGTTGTTGCTGTTGTTGTTGTCGTCGTCGAAGAAGAAGAAGCAATACTAGTGGTTGATGCAGTTGTTCCATTCTCAATACTTTTGGATTCTTTTACCTCATGTGATGAATCTAGTGTGTTAGTTGCATTGCCATTATTCACAGAACTAACATTTGACATCTGATTAGTAGATAATTTTGGAGCATTTGGATCAAGTAAATAAGCAAGTGTATAGGAGACATCATTTTCTGTGAATCTATTGAATAAAATAGACATAGATAAATAAATGAATAATAATAGTAATGTTTAAAAAAAATTAAATTATCATTCTATGGGGATAATGTGATTTAGGAAAACCATGGAATAAAAGGGAAATCAGTGGTTCAGGAGTTGAATGTTCGCTGAACATGCTGCACGGGATCCAGGGTTCAATCCCCATGCACTGGCACACTCCTAAACCTCTACATCAGCCGGTAAAAAAAAGGTTGATTGTGAGGCTAGCAGCCCCACCCTATAAAAATGAATGCAACTGCTACTGAAACTCCATAAACTCTAACTTGAAGCCCTATATTGTTCCACTCGGAACGCAAAGGAATAAAAGATGCATTCTATTCTGCAAGCACTGCTGAAGAGTCTTAGTACTCCTTGTCTTCGGTGGTTCTTTAAATGATATCAGTCCATGACGAAATCTACTTTGAAATATTTTATTACTAGTTGTAGGGTGATTACAGTGAGACTACTTTTTGTATTCCGTGACGTTCCCAGTGGAACATAGGGGGCTTCAAGCTACAGGCTTGAAGTTTCGGTAGCAATGGTGATCTTATTTTTTTACTCATTGAAGTTGCTAGCCTCCTGCACAAACTTCCCTCTTTACCAGTCGTATTGCCAGCTTAGTGAGGTAAAGGAGTGCGCCGGTGGCCGGGTATCGAACCCCGAACCACATGAGGCGCGGTTGGCAAGCATTCTACCGTTGTACCACCGACGCACACATTGAGACTATAAAACGATTTAATCTTTAAAGCTTTTTTCTTGTCAATGCCTTACTTATATTTTATAAATATTTTTTTAACCGTAACTATGCTAAGTATACAGATGAGTACATTATCGTTCAACCAGTTAATCAGGACTTAACAGTCCATGAACTGTAACATCTGTCGACTACTGACGATATCATCAGTGAGTATCTGTCCTCACCTACAACAACACTTGGTGGGGATCCTGCCGTTAACAACTCCGGGGTAACTCCATTTCACAGTCAGTCAGTTATGAGAAATGGATTACATCATAAATGTTAGTTTATTTTATTTATTTTATTTTGATTACAGCTTGATGCCACATCGCACTTTAGTACAAGTATGGAATTTTCAGCATGGATATCGATAGCCCAAATTTTGCAGGCCGACCATAGATATCGGGTGTGCGTCGGCAGGGGATCGAACCCCGGACCATGTGCATGGTCGGCGGGAGTCCTAACCATTGTGCCACCGACGCACGTAAGAATGCGTCATGTAACGGCATCAATTAGGGGATGATTGAAAACTAGAAAGTGTACTGAACGCTCTTCACAGCATTACTCATCTATAAACCAATCACACTAGGATGAGACAGTTATCTACTGGTTTCGGATTTTCACCCGTCTTTTTTTCAACTAATGTCACTTCATGACAGAATCTATCAGGAAATCGGTTAGTCAATCAAACTTCTATACATCAAATACTTGAAAGTTAATCACCTTTTTTAATATTAAATGATTGAAGGCGATCGGCAGGAAGCAGTCACATTATCACTACTGAGCTATTTAAGCTCGCGATTGACATACTTATAGTGTGGTGAGAGCTGGCTGCTAGCCAAAATTGTAGACAACAATTTACCTCAATTTTTACGTCCCAAATCGGGGTCATGAGAAAAAAACACAATAACAAAGCTTAACCTTGAGGAACTCACCAACCAATCACAGCAGACCTAAAGTTTGCAAATACGATTCGTAGATATATGGCTTAACTTTCTAAGAAACGGCCACAAAGAGATAACAGAATAACTTTCAGCAAGAAAACAACCAACCAGAAGACGTTGCTTCTCTGCTAACAATAACGAATAATAATGTACATAAAAATCCATAAATATCTGTTGATTTTCTCAATAAAGGATCTGTTGCCTGACCCTAGACACATTACACTAGTTATTAGCTAGTATCCAGTCAAAATATCCAACACAGTCCAAGAGGAGGTCAATCGCGAGTGCGAATAGCTCAGTGGTAACGTCACTGACTGACTGCAGCCCCACTGGGTGACACAGGTTTGAATATATTTCAAAAGGAACATGAGTTCCTTCAAGGTGATTGCAGATATGCGCCTTGATGACTGGTGAGTGCCAACTAGCACAAAACCTAGGTCACTCACGGATTCCTGCCAGTCGCCTCCAACTATCTAATAACAATGATTCTCTAATTAATGTTAATTAATAATAGGAAATATCTTGAAACTATCCAGTAAGATCCCTACATATCAAACACTTATTGGTAGTCATTCACACCTTTGAAAATTACAATTACTTACTGTGATCTACTCCAGTCTATACGATAAGATAAACCGGAGACAATTAAATCTTCATATATACAACGTATACGATAACCAGATAATTTCTCCTCATCGATTGTGTATTCACGTTGATGAGCATTCTGTCGACTAACCACTAGATTATCATTTTCATCCACATATGTAAAGGATAAAGGATAGGAGCTATAAAGAAGAAAAAAATAGATAAATCAAAGCAGAGAAAAACACTATGTTTGCATCAAATGAAATAATTTTCCAATAAAAGAAATACACAGTTTGTTGCTTAGATGGAGATTACAACGATTTGAAATAGGATAGACTGAAAACTTTATACAATTTGGACTGATTTTAATGTCGATAGTGTTGTTACGAACTAACAACAGCTAGAGATTATTGAATAGTTAATGAGCTTCGTCTCGTAACCTGAAGATCCCCGGCTTTCATTCCTGGTGGAGTCGTGGCCATATATACTGAAGAGTCCCAAACTAGGACGAAACAGTTGTCCAATGCTCCCTGGTTTTCGATAATATCTAACTGTGATGCTGGTTCGTGACGAAATCTATATTGAAATTAATCTAAATCGCTACAAAAAAACACCTACAATCTAAATATCAGTCTCCAGCTCACTGATGGCTACTGAACGTATGTCCTGAAGATGTCCTGAGTGGCATAGACTACTGATTGGACACTAACTAGTATCATGCGACACACACATTAGTGTATGAAGGCGAGAAGTAGCCCAACATGGATGATCCGTGCAAATGGTGCCTTGAAGTTAAGGTGTACATAATTTGACCATATAGAGATACCAAATTGCTAGTAAATATTTCTTACCACGTCTTTCGTCTTCTACTGTAACAATTGATGTCTCTGCCTCCAGACAATGAAGATCCCATGGCCGGCTGCTTTCGAGGAAGGAGACATTCGGAACTTCTTAAGGGACATTGAGGCCATCGATGAGTTGGTGGGCATCGTGCAGGGGACGCTGCTGAGAGGTCGAGCAAAGGCACTGTACCACAGTGTGGAGCGGCCACGTGAGAAGGAGACGTCGAAAGTATTTGTTGCACGATTGGTGGCAGAGTTCGAGAGCTTGACAGAAAGGCAGATGGCAATATAGCAGTTCCGTGCAGCGAAACTGGGACTGGACTGAAACCCACTAGTGTCGGCGGTGAAGCTAACGAATCTACTACTTTGTGTACTCCCCACTTTAGATGAAGAGTCGGAGTCGCAGTAATTGGCGTCCGAGTTCATTGAGAGTGTCTTACACCATATGTCTCATCAAATAAAATTAGTTAACGCTGTACAACCCATGGACACTGGTGAGCTAGCGAAATTATGTACACCTTATCTTCAAGGCATCACTTGCACAGATCATCCGTGTTATGCTACTTTTCGCCTTCCTTTGTATCTCTGTGTTCTCCTTTCACATCTCTTATGTATCTCCGCCGATATGGTGAATCATTTTCTTACTTTGAAATCAAATCTCACTCTGCTGTTTCATGTTTTTTATAACGAGGAACGTCTCTTTATACACTACTGATAAATCTTATCAGCAGAAGCACACGCCAAATAATCTATCCATATAGCTGATTAAATTTGATTAAAAACAGTAGTGTTATTCATAACAATAATTCTTTAATTATTATGAACATATAACTGTAAAACCTAATGAAGAACAAGTTATCGGGAAGAATCTTCTTAGTTCACCAATCAGTGTGCATTGTACTTTTTACTTTATATTAAAACACCAAAAAAATTTAAAAGAATGCTAATCACAATAAGCGAGGACATGAGTTTCTTCAAGATTGCAAATAAACCTTTCTGACTGATGAGTGCCGACAACAAGCACGACACCTATGTGTTACACTTCCTGCTGATTACCTCCAACCACTTATCATCAATTCATAGAGCACTGAGATGACGAGCTACCTAGCTTTGTGTGTCCACATTGCACAACTGACCGATAGAATTCCGTCAACACCAACACCAGGTAATCCGTATTTACCAATCGATATAAAGTAGCTATATGTTGGCTACTTTCCTGCCAGTTATTGTGCATCAGTTTTTCTTCTTATCACTGCTGGTTCATTTCAAAATATTTCTCCATCTGTGGAAATGCAATTCACTGGCTTAAACAATCGACATTCAGCCAATAGGTTACGTAATTAGACTTAGAAAATGCATATCATGTAGGGCTCATAAACCAGTACATAAGGAATCTACTCCGAATAACACAGGTATAATAAGGTGTCTTCATTTGTAAATCTTCTCTAACTTTAGAATGTCTAAAACTGTGACTGACCGGTCTAGGCGTTCAACTTTCACAGAATGAAAATAGAGATTCAAACCCTGTTTCGCTTACCCAGGTTTCTGCAACCAGAAAGCATGATTAGCTAGAGACGGCGTAAACCGGCTCGTCTCGCATATACCAGTTTACGCCATCTCTGGCGTAGACGTGATATCCGGCTTGCTATCGACTAAAAGAAGTGTGTACTGCTCAGTAGTCCGCTTCGTCCTTCTTTATGGCTGTGAGACATGGCCATTGAGAGTGGAAGACATGAAAATGCTAGCTAGCTATTTTTGATCATAGGTGCCTGCGTTCTATCTCCCGTGTGAAGTGGTATAACAGGGTGAGCAATATTGAGGTTAGGAACCGGTCAAGTGCTAGGTAGGTGGGAGGGGAAATCAACAGACGAAGTTGTGAAGTTACACTGATTGAATTGGTTAGGACATGTGTTACGACATGCCTAGCCATCGCCTCCCTCGACAACAGGCAATGTTACCTGACATAGGATGAATCAGGTTGGAAAAGAGCAAGCACGTGGTGGTCAAAACAAAACATGTCTTCATCAGTCGATGAACTCCATAAGAGCTACGTAGGGAGATTTAGACTTCCTGACTAGTTAGGGTCAACGGGACGGTAAAAAACCAGTGGCTGAAGACAATTGGTAATATAGCTCAAAATCCTCATTGTCAATGGCTGGCACAGATGCATCCACTCCTTGTGACTTATAATATCCAATAAAACTATATTGTCCTTCCATATTACTATTCATTTTGTCTCATACCTCTGTTTACTGTCTCTGTTTTGCGTTTCTTCTTACTTTCTTCTCTTGCTTTGTGTGCTACATGGATGTAGTTTGACGACTCGAACTGTTGGACATCGGTGCAAAGTTCTATGTTGAAACCAGTCAGTCAGTCAGCCCCAACACAATAGGTGTGGCTTAACTGTCAACTGTAAAGAAATACAGTGAGTGTGGTTGTTGGATAAAGAAATGAATGAATGAGAACTACAGTGTGAAGTTTTGTATTCCTTCATTTAACATGCTGTGAGTTTTCATACTTTTTCTTTTCATTTGTTAACAGTGATTTTTTTTTAAAGTAAAGACAAAGTTTTAGGTATTCAGAATGACCCTGAACTCAAAACCTAACAAATAAAAAAAATTTTACTATTCAATACACTGATACTAACAGTTATCAGATACAAAGAAGCAAAATAGATGTGTGAACAGTTTTCATTTGTGTAAGTTCTTAAAGTTCATATAAAATGAAAGCGATAGAAGTACATACCTTATTTCAGAAGATGTGTCAATACTTTCATGAGATATTGATTTAATCAATGAAGAATACCTTGTTGAAGTCTTGGAATTCAAAGATGTTTCAGTTGTACCTACAGAATAAAAGGATTATTATTATAATTAGTCAAAAACACCAGTATAAAGTTAAAATTTGTACTACAATATACCATAGTTTTTCAACACAAGCTTCAGTGGTTCCGTGATAAAATGCTCCCCAACCAGGTACGTGGACCATGTTCATTTCCTAGACAATGCACTCCTTGATGTCACTAGTTTACTTGACTTTAGCAACTCAGGGATTGACTTGTTACCATCAGGGAATAATCTCATTGACTTAGAATATGCAGATGACATGATATACTCCTTCTAAGTGAGGACGCTGACAAAATCCAGCAGAGTCTTCTGAAAACCTTGAGCTGCAATTTGCGAATGGTTGGCATGCGATTCGCTCCCTCCAAATGTAAGATGATGCTACAAGACTGGACCGCATTAACTAGTAGCTTAGAAATAAGGAGTGAAGAAGTTGGTGGGAAGTTGTATCAGCCAACGCTAACGCGAACAGCTTGATCGCTGACGAAATCTCAGCATGGATAGAGAAGGCTCGCTTCGCATATGCCAGTTTACGCCGTCTTTCGCTTAGTAGACGTGATATCCGGCTGGCTAATAAACAAAGGCCTATGGACTGCTCAGCAGTCCACCCCATCCTCCTGTATAGCTGACTGGCTGTGAGCAAGACCTGGTCATTGAGATTGGAAGACATGAAAAACCTGGCTGGCTGGCTAGCTGTCTTTAATCATACGTGCCTGCGTTCTATCTCGCGTCTGTAATGGTAGGTGTGATAGGGTGAGCAATATTGAGGTTAAGAGTTGGTCGAGTGCTACGTAGGTGGGAGGGGAAATCAATCGACAAGGGTGTGAAGTGGCTGCATCCATTGAGATGGTTAAGACATATGTTACGCATGCCTGCCTAGTCATCGCCTTCCTCGACAACAGGCAATCTTAACCGCTGACAGAGGATCGATCAGATTGGAAGACAGTTAGCACGTGGTGGTCAAACCAAAACATGGCTTCATCAGTCGATGAAGTCCACAACAGTTAGTTTAAGCCAGTCACGTAGAAAAGTGCAGACTTCTTGACTACTGGTCGGAGTCCTACGGATGGTTAGAATCAATGAAGGCTGGAGACAATTATTGGTGGTATGACTCAAAATCGTTATCAATGATAGCTAGCGCAGATGCATCCATTTCTTGTGACGTATACTATCCGATAAAATTATATAGTGTTCTTCCATATTCCTATTCTTTTTGCCTCATATCTCTGTTTTGTATTTCTTTTTACTTTGTTCTCTTTTTTGTGTGCTAAGTGAAATGTAGCGACTCAAACTGCTGCGAATCCGTAAAAAGTTCTATGTTGAAACCAGTCAGTTTCATCTGAATTATTTCAGTTTCCGACGGGAACTACAGTGAAATATCACCTTGAATTGTATAAAGTGCAAACTTGGTTTAAAGTTGACAATATCCAATTTTTTTAAAATTTTATTCCTTCACTTCCCGAGTGGAACATAGGGGGGGGGGGGTACAAACTAGAGCTCTTAAGTTTCGGTAGGTAGTAGTGGAGTTTAGTTTTACGAGGAGGTGTTTTTAGCTTCATGCCCAACCTTCCCTCTTTACTAGTCGTATTACCGGCTTAGCGAAGTAAAGGAGTGCGCCGGTTGTAGATGCAACTCCGGACCACGTGAGGAGTGGCTGTCGAGCAGTCTATACCGCTGTATCACCGATGCACCACAATTTTCAATTTATTATTATTATTATTGTATCCTTTAATTCCTACAGGAACATACGGCTTCAGCCGTGCGTCTCCATTGCCTTCGGTTCTCTGCTAGAGTTTTCACCTGACTCCATGTCTGCCCATACGTTTTCATCTCCTCTTCACATGACCTCCTCCAAGTCACCATTGCACTGACGACCAACTCGCCACTTCCCTTTCGGGTTCCACTCGAGCGATGGCTTGTCTAGTGATGTGAATTGATGGTTTTCTAAGAGTATGGCCAATCCATCTCCATTTGTTCCTGCCTATTTGTTTCACAATCGGTTCCTGCTGGGTTGGTTAGCTCCCAGAGATCTCTATTGCTGATCTTCTCTGGCCATCTGATCTTGAGTATTGAGCCAGGACAAATTTTGATTGATGAAGGTCTGTAGTTTGTTTGAGGTGCTCTTTATGACGCGCCAAGTCTCTGATCCATCCGCATAGTAGCACTGACTTCACATTGGAGTTGAAAATCCGGATCTTATTTCCATTTTCATGTTGAGTGCTGTTGACCTCCACACAGACTTGAGAGTAGTGAAAGCTTGTCTTGCTTTTCCGATTCTTGCTTTGATATCCTCGTCAGTTCCATCAGCCTGTAGTTGAAACGATGCTTCCCAGGTAGGTAAAAGAGGTTGTTTCCTTCAGGTTCCTCCCACTTATGCTGATTGTTGTCTCTTTTTGTTGCTGTTGGTGGTGTTGCCCAGGAATCTTCATCACCTCTGTCTTCTCTATGTTCACCTGAAGTCCTAGCTTTGATGCTTCTTCTGCCAACTTGTTGCCTTTCCCTTGCATATCTTCCAGTTTGTGGGAAATCAGACATATATCATCGGTGAAGTCCAGATCCTCCAAGCTTTTTGTGTGGGTCCATTTTATGCCTGTTTCCTCATTGCCCGCTGTTTGTCGCATTATCCAGTCTACTGCAATCAGGAAAATCATTGGAGATAGTAGGCAGCCAGCCAGCTTGTCTTACTCCAGTCTTTACTTGGAAGGCTGTGAGATTCCCTTTGTGGATTACTTGGCATGCAGCGTTGTCATACAGCTGTTGGATGAGATGTATAATTGTCAGTGGCACTGTGTAGTAGCGAAGTAGTTGCCAAATCACCTCTCGATCGACGCTGTCTACTGAAGGCCTTTTCAAAGTCGATGAAGTTGAGATGGAGAGGTGATTGCCATTCCAAGCTTTGTTCAATGATGATCCGTAATGTGGCGATCTGATCAATGCATGACTTGTTCCTCCTGAATCCAGCCTGTTCAATAGTTTAATTTATTTCTTGTTTTGAATACACCGCTATATTACTCAACTTGTTATGCAGGTGACGCTTTTACTCACCTGAGAATTTTTTGTGATATTTTTTAAAAAGTGGCTTGTAAAACCTAAGCTGAGGTCATTTGAAAGTGCTTCGTCCAACCAATAACCAATAGAAACTGAATAAAATACCTTCATAATTTATCGATCAAAGTTTATCTCACACACTCAACTTACCAGTTGCTCATTATCTAATCAAACACACACACACACAGATTATATTAATGTCACAAGCAAATAAACAATTATTCCCGTTAAGTGATCAACACTTATTACAACTGGCTAAAGATATTAACAGTCGTTGGGAAGATGTTTTTCGCCAAGGACTTACTACTACTGCCAGTGAAGATAACTCCAAGTTAAATACTCCAGCAGCATGTCTACCAAAAAGTCAACTTGAAATATGCCGTAAACTGGCTCCAAATGACAGCATACTTCAAGCCTATTTTGCATTGGCTAGATGGAGATGGTTTTGTGCGTCGGTTGGATGTTCCAGCAAGCAAGCGTTATTAGCACTGACAAATGCAGTGAAAGCATGTGGATTGACGCAGGCAAGTGTAAATTTACAGGCAATGAATAGTGTGTCTACATCATTGGAATATGTATGAGGAAACAGACAAGTAAAGTCGAAAGTAAAAAGTGTTTCTGATTGCAATTTTACGTTACTCTGTGTTACTTTTAAACTCACTGCGTGTGAAATGTTGTTATTTTTAGAAAAAAAAATAGTTTCATTAGTTGTTCCTTTCGTTCGACATTACGGATTTTTTTTCTTCCATATATTTCTTCACAAAAGTGGAAGGGCGAAAGGTAACGTGTGTGGGGCTTACAGTCAAGAATGGTGGACATGCTAGTCCACTTAGGCGGGGAGAGAAGCGGGGGAGGGCCTGGAAAAGCCTGATTCCAAACGTGTAGTGTAGGCGCACGTTGCAGAATTCGAACAGATAGAATGGCGCATGAACTTGTTTTTGAACACCCGAAACTAATGGAACGTAGTTCCTGAGGCTACACTCCACTGATTTGTGGATCAGACCTAAGGTCAAAGGGTTGGCGTCTGGGTAGTATCCCACCTTTTTGACAAACTATGAGGTTTTGTGTGGCGTACCTCTTGGTGCCCATAATGTATTAAGTTTGTGTTCTGATAAATAAAAGAAAGTAGTTTTGACAGTATTGAACAGTAGTGACAGTTGGGCACTTGCATGACAGGAATTAACTTTAAATCCACAGTAGGAAAATCACATCCAATCTCTTCGTAATGAAACTGCTCTATTAGAGGATGTGATATAAAGTTGAGCATTTGATTCTTAACTTTCAAATTTTGAATACTTCGGGAATGAAATTTTAAGTGATGGTTTGGAGGGATTCGATCAATTTCAAGATTGAACATAGATTGAGGTATCAGTTAGAGAAACACTGGGAATTAAGAAGTTTAGGACAACCGTTTAGTATCAGTTTAGAACTCTTCGGCGGCACCTACCCATGATCCAATATGGATCGGACCGAGAACCTTTAGGTCAAAAGGTGAGCTCGTAGATCGATGGTTGATGAATTCTAACTTCTGACAATTCGTAACATACAGAGCGACCGCCAGTAAACATCACCTACTGAAGAGTCCGAAACCAAGGACGAAACGACTCTCCAGTACTCCCTTTTGGTTTTCAGTGGTTCTCTAAACGAATTCAGTTCGTGATCAGTCTCCAAATTTCAAATGAATGTTTAGCAAACATAAGGGTAATAGTGTTGAGTGGCAGAATTTATAAATGTGGGACGATTTTTTACGTAAATAGGAAACTGAACTTTCACCTCCGAAGACTTAGTAGCGGAGGCTGGAAAAAGTAGTCTAACTCTCAACTTTTTCTCTTTTCAAAGAATATTATCGACCAGTAGAGTAGGAGAGGTTTAGGAGTTTGTCCGTCTGTAATACGAACCTTGATCTCACACGTGGCTGGAGAGCATTCTACTACTGAACTGACTGTTTCAATGAGCAAAGACTCAGCAGTGCAGATGAGTCAGAATATGGTAAGGATTTTCGCATATTATTTTCCGCCTTAAAGAAAAATAACTTTAGAGGACGCGGCTGTGGAGGTTAGTCAGTCAGTATCGACTAAATGTCCGACTATTGCGCTTCTTACTTCCCCAGTCCCACCTCTTGAAAACGACACAGAATAGTGCTCTTGCATCCTCTTAGACGAAACCAACGTCACAAGACCAATATATCTAGCTGCACAGGAACAAGTGAACTGGTAGGCACACAGAGCTGGTCAACTACTGGGTATTTTCGTTCAGGTTATTGCATAGTAATGGTAGACTACAAAACATTAACTTGTACCCTTTACAGCACAGTGTATGACAATATTTATGGATTTATAACTGTAAAGGGAGCGGAATATGTCATTCAAAAACCTTTATTCGCTCAAGTGCCGCGTAAAAATATTTAAAGATATTTTTCAATTGCCTAAGGACCTACTTAAAAATAATTCAGTAGTCGAACGTTTTACAATAACATTTCTAACGAAAATATATGACGAATGAAGAGAACATATACGCATATTCACATATAAGCATTACACGTAGAGAAAAAAGGAAAAGTTCTACGGACCAAACTTGAGCACTATTTTTATTATATTACTTTTCTCTTGGGTTCCAAGTAGAATATAGGGATACAACAACACATCTCCGCTCTGTTCTATTTGGTACTGTTCTCTTCAGCTAGTCCCCCGATTGCCCATAATCTCTCATCTCCTCCTTCCTAAACGATCACCTCCACGTCGCTCTCGGACGACCCACTCATCGTTTCCTATTGAGATTCCACTACAGAGACGGTCGGTAGAGCGATGTTATTCTCACCCATAGAGAAGAACTGACTGACATCACATTTATGTTGAAGATCCGAATCTTGTTGTTTATAATGACTGAGTGCAGAAGAATTCCAAAGTGGTTTCAGACTGATGGGGGAGTATCTTGTCTCTACCACTCTGCCTGGTTGGCTTTGAGATATTCGTCCGTGCCACTTGTGGTTGAAACCGTGCTTCCTAGATAAGTGATGGAAGTAACCTCTGTTAAATCCCTCCCGTTGGTGGTGATTGATGCTGGTTGTTGTAGTTGTTGTTGGTAGTTGGTTAAGTTCATCACCTCCGTCTTCTCTAGGTTCACCTGCAATCCTATGTTCGCTGCCTGCCTCTTCAGTCAATTTGCTGGTTTTTGCCTGTCTGCAAGTCTTCGAGTTTGTGTGGCACGCGAGAAATCGAGATCTTCTAGACTCTTCTTATTGGTCGCCCAGCATATTCCTGTCTTCTTACTCCCATTCACAGTCTGACGCATAATACAGTACCATTGGTGATAACAGAAAGCCTTGTCTTACTCCTGTATTCACTTCAAAAGCTTCGCTGAGTTTTCCGTTGATGATGAACATTTATATCATCCACAGATAATCACAATGTAACAAACTAAACTTCATGTATTGATGCAGCTGATGGGAAGTCAACGAAATTAATGATGATACCATCTTATTCTGGAAAGCTTTTCTTCTTCCTTTGTTCAAAACAATTTTCCAATATTCCCATAGTTCATTGGGAACAGGAATAATTAAAGCGAACAAGTGTTTTCGAAATATTCTTCAGGTCCTACTACAATTACGAATCCCAATGAGTGTGTATTGATGACGAGTCCCAAACCAGGACGAAACAGTTGTCTAGTACTCTCAAGTTTTCAAATAGTTCTCTAACTGATGTTAGTCATCTTGTGATCAAATCTGTAATTACAAGTCCATTTAGTTGTGGCGCATACAATAGCCAATAAAGGTAAACTGGAACTATATTATAAAATGGATTGTGGTACAAATAAGAGATGGAATAACAGTCAGTGGGTTTGAATCATTAAAATCCGTGTTCCAATTCTTTTGTCCTTTCTTTCCCTTTTGTTCTATCATTGATGAACATTTATTTCGAATTTTGTAAGACTTTATGACCTTGCTTATTATATGTATTACCGTAGGCTTGAGCAATGCTGTTATATATACTAAAATAAACGGGTTTATGATTGTACAGCCAGAATAGGTAACAGCTCTCAGTGGTAATGTCTCTGACTAGCTGCAACACAGCATGACACAGGTTCAAATCTCAGAAGGAACAAGACTTTCTTCAGAATTGCAGACACGCCTTACTGACGAATGCTAACAAGCACGAAGTCTAGGTCAATCAAGGATTCCTGACGATTGCCCCCAGCCCATCTAATAACAATAGTTCATAGCGCACAATTGTAGCTAGCCACATTGTAAACTTGACTGATAGAATTCAGTCTACACCAAACAAAGGACTAGAAGCATAATATTAGTTACTGACTAGTGTCCAATCAAAGTGAAGAGGAATCTATTCAAAAATTAACTTTTAAAATATAAAATTCATATTGGTACAAACGTGATATCAGTCATATGCCAAAGTATGAGTACTCACTTTCAACTCCATCAAGTGATACTTCGGATTCTGAGCATAGTGAATTGGGAATATCTGATTCATATTCTGTTAACTTGAACCTTGGTAAGAGTAGAAAAAAAATTAGACAACAAAAATATATGATAACATATATACTACTGATTGATTAATTTAAGTAGTTGGATACCAATCACATAAACTAGTAGTGCATACTAGCCAGCAATATCAAAGTGATCTAAACAGTCTATAGTCGTTCCATTCGTCTGGAGCTGGGCTCATCAGCAGTGTACCTAGTTTGGCTCAACTTAGATCTGAGTCATCAATTCAGACCACCAGAAATGAGAGGGGTAGTTACTTGGGTAATTTTTAGATTAAAATTTACAGTTTTCGAGTTACACCGCTCGACAGACAAGGTGGAATTTGAATAGTTGGAGGATTTTATCATGAGCTGACATCAGTTAGAGAACCATTGGAAAACCGACGGAGAGTACTGGAGGGCTGTTTCGTCCCAATAGTTTGGGACTCTTCAGTATTACACACCCACCGCCAGGATTCAAACCCGGGACCTTCTGGTCACAAGGCTAGAGACCTCGTAGACCATTAAGCCACTGCGACCCTGTAGTGAGAGATGTCTGCTGGCCAAAATTGGAAGACAACAATTTCCGTCAATGTTTACTTCCTAAATCTTGGTCATGAGAGAAAACAAGAACAAGGCTTAACCCTGAGGAACTCAACAACCAATCACAGCAGACTTAGTATGTGCAACTACGGTTCGCTGAAATATGGCCTGACCTTCGAAGAAATGGTCACAAAGAGATGACGGAATAACTTTCAGCGAGAAAACAACCAATCAGAAGACGTTACCTCTCGGCTAACAATAACGAATGATAATGTACGTAAAAATTTATAAATATCTGTTTATTTTCTCAATAAACGATCTGTTGCCTGGTCCTTGTCTTCTTTCGTTACAATCCGACCCCCAATGGCCCATGAAATTCTAACTTCTGGTAATTCATGACATAGCACAGAAGTTAGAATTCATGCGCCATTGGGTCGGGTCGCAGTGACTAATGGTCTACGAGCTCTCCATGTAACCAGCTCATGATGAAATCCTCCAACCAGTCAAACAAAATCCCTACAAAAAGAATACTTGAAAACTTGGAATTTCACCACGGTTCCCCTTCGAAATCGAATTTATTCAGATCACGATATTTGATCTGCTTGATATCATAAATGACGATCAAAAAGGCAAGGATGAGCACATCGTGCTACACACTACTGATTAATTTGTTGATTTGAATAGTAGGATATCACTCACATCAACCAAGAGTACACTTGTTACCCAACTAGACTGAAATGGTGCAAACACTAAACGGCCGTTTCGTTGGTTTGTGGGCGAGCTTATCAGCGGTGTATTCGATATAAATTATAGTTGAGACTATCGCGAAATCTCACTAGCCAGTAGAGTAACCTCCACTTGAACCCCATGAATAATAATAATAAGAAAAATATTTATCTTCAGAATGATTCCTAGATTCACGGACGGAGGGAAGTAATAGTCTTCCCTTGGAGATTTCGATAACGAAAAGCCGCTTAAGTTGTTTGTTAGTTCTATGATTAATTGTATTGCACAATAAAGCTGAAAGTTGACTGGTAATTACTTCCTTTTTGTGATAATACAAAGGAATAAACACGTTTCTAGAGTGCCAGTCAATTATTGAATGCATTCATCTTACTTTACATTGAATTTATGTGTACAGAGAACGGAGATGGTCATGACAGACAGTGAATTCAAAGCTATGCCTCATCCCACATTCATGTGTTGCGCATGCCTAGCCTAGTCATCGCCTTCCTCGACGGGAAACGATAGTTTCTAACATAGGATGGATCAGGTTGGAACATGGCTTCATCAGTCAATCAAATCCACAACAGTTAGTTTAAGCTGACTGCCACCTAAGGAGGTGTACACTTCCTGACTCGCTGGTTATCGTCCTCGGGATAGTAAGGACCGATGAAGGCTGCAAACAATTGGTGATATGGCTCTAAGTCCTTGTTCTCAGTGATGGCGCAGATGTATTCAGTCGTTGTGATTCGTCATATCCACATCGCTATTCTTTTTGTCTCAGATTTCTGTTTATTATCTCTCCTTTGAATCTCGCTTTACTCTCTTCTCTTGCTTTGTGTGTACTACATGGAGGGAGAGTGGCAACTGGAACTGCTGCATATCTGTGCAAAGTTCTACGTTGAAACCAGTCTGTCAGTCAGTTAGTCAGCCTCCTATATTCATCTAATATGTATCGAAAACTAATACAAAGGCATGTAATGCAGTCAACGAATGTGTATTAGACAGACAAGTTTCCCAAATGTCAAAATGAAATACTTTAGAAATCGGCTACACATTTTAGAGAAGATTCTTGAAATGTTATCATACTAGGTCATCATCATCATCATCGGTTTTCGACATAGAACTTTGCACTGATGTGCGGAAGTTCAAGTCGCCACACTCCCTCCATTTAGCACACAAAGCAAGAGAAGAAAGTAGAAGAAATGCATAATATAGACAGTAAACAGAGGTGTGAGACAAAGGTATAGCAATAAAGGAGAACAAAACAGTTTAATTGGAAATCATAAGTCACAAGGAGTGAATGCATCTGCGCCATCACTGAGAACGATCACTTTGAGCCATGTCACCAATTGTTTCCAACCATTGGTTTTACCATCCCGAGGACCCCAACCAGGAAGTCTACATCTTCCTACGTGGCTTAGACTAACTGTTGTAGATTTCATTGACTGGTGCCATGTTTTGGTTTGACCGCTGCTAGCTCTTTTCCAGCCTGGCCCTATATGAGCTCGGTCGGTCGGTCGGTCGTTTTTCGACATAGAACTTTGCACATATGTGCGGCAGTTCAAGTTGCCACAATCCAATCCTATATGAGCTGACATTGCCCGTCGAGGAAGGCGATGACTAGGCATACGTAACACATGTCCTAACTATCTCAGTCGATGTAATTTCACAGTCTCGTCGACTGATTTCCCCGCCTTACCTAGCACTCGACGCCTAAACTCAATATTGCTCACCTTATTATACCATATTATTATTATTATATCATATTAGGTGAAATATATCTTACCTTCCTGGTGAATCAGTTACACAATGAACAATCTTCTGATCGATTAGTCTATTCAGTTCAGATAAGAGTAACTCTGGGTCAGTCTATAATCAATACAAACATGAAAATGAAAACATTATCATCAGAAATTGATTGAATTGTTTAACATAGATAATAGTAGTAAAAACTATGAAGGTAAATATTCTTAATGGATTTCATTTAGACAGGGAAAAATATACTGTACTATAAGTGAAATTACCTTGATGTGTTGAAACACTAACAAACTTCATTCAATTTATCACTACTCCAGCGTGTAATACATTTTCAAGAAAAACAAGAGTATCGAGAATTACCACCTGTACAACGCGACTTTACCACTTCGTGTGCTTTTGAAAGTGTTTGGGCAGTTGTTACTTCCCGGCTGGATTGGTTCCGTATTAGTAACTTACCATCGGTTGCGGAGAACCGTAGGGTAAGTCGGGATGTACAAATGTTGGGGTCAACCTTTTACAAACTCTCCCTACAGAGTGGAAAGACAGCATAGCTGGCTGACGTGCTGGTCATCTGAGGGAAACACCTTACTGTGGCTGTTACATCCCTGTTCCCCTGCCGTACGACTTCGCCCACAGACCCCCAGAGCATAGCATATAGATAATCTTCAATAGTTTATTTGTGGGGATTTGATTTACTTCAAGCTTTCACTACTGATTGATATCAGTTACAAAACCATTAAGAACTAAGGAGTACTGTACAGTCGTTTCGTCCTAATCTGGGACTCATCATCAGTATGCACCCATCGGGTTTCGTGCTAAAATCATATATTGGTATAAGTTAGAATTCATGGATCACTGAGTTGGATTTAAGAAGCTGAATGGTCTACGACTCGATTTGTAGCCGGAAGGTCTTGGGTTTGAACCTTGCGTACTGCCAATGAGTTCCACACTAGGACAAAACAGCTGTACAATACACCACCCTCTGTGATACAGTATTATTTATATACTGATGATATATTGAGCACAACTCAAAGCTCATAATCACATTGTAACAGGAGAAAACAATAGACTTGGTAACAGAATGTTTACTTGCAATTTGATATAAACATATAGAGAAATTATGCACACCACCTTAAATGAAAATTTTCATTTGCGCAGATCTTCCGTTTTATTGTGCTAACTCTGCCCTTCCTTCGTAGTATCTTGTCTCTTTGATGTGAAATCTATCTGTCTGTTATTTGATGGTTTTGTGCCGGTGAACGTCTCTTCATATGCTATTGATAAATCATGTCAGCAGCACACGTCACAATATCAAGGCACTCATATAACGTTCAAACTTTATTGATTCGTAGTGATATTTTGTGCATCTCTGGCATATTAGCGTTGCATCATTCGTATTGCACGTGTTAGATGTGTAGATTCAATGAACAAAGATTCAGTGATCAACACCTCTCTCTTTCTCTCTTCACCCACCTATATTACCCTACTCAGAACTGTAACTCTGTCCCACCTTACTATATGACTAAGTCTTAATACATGCATTGCGACTGTTGTGTTTTTTTATTGATATAAGGATAAAACTTGGGCACTGTGGTAAAGTATAACTGATAGGACGCAGCATAAAATAGTATATCATCCTTTTCTCACGAATCGAGTGATCCATCTTCTGATGGAGCTACTATGTTAATCTATCATTTCTCACGCATATTGTGATTTAGTGTGTGTGAGATCAATTCATCGTCTTTTGTCGCACCTTGATCTTTGTCGGATCACCAACCAATCAGAATCGAGATATCCAGCCAATAAGAGCAGTCTATTCTGGTTGAGATAATGTATAAATTTCATGTGTTGTTCTTAAAATGTTTAATACAATATCTTATAGTCACAGGCTAGTCATTGTCTTTTGATATTTGCGTGGCTCAATGAATCGGAAGGTACAACAGACAAATAGACACGTATTAGCGTATCAGTCGAGTTCATTACCATTATAGGAATTAACAGGTACAAACATAACAAAGTAGCAACGGATCTATTCAAATCAGAGCATTTATAACAATAACTCCATTATGGGTAAAATTTTATTTTGATAAAATCACACAGTGTGTTGTTATACACTAAGTAATATTTACTGATGACCACGTTTCGTGCACAAATTATCATTGCTACTCATAATCATATCAAGTCAGGTGGAGAGAGAGAAAGACTGATTACTGAATCCTGTCTGGTTCATCGAGTCTATACACCCAACACAACACATGCAATAGAAGTGACTCAACGCAAATACCAGAGATATGCATGGAAGATATCATTACCACCAGTCAAATCAGAGGAGGACAATAAATAATGTTAAAATGCATTCAATTTAATTCATATTATAACAGTCCAACAAGTTATTTATTTATTTTATTATGAAAACATCTTATTTCCCATCTGATTGTATTTGATTGATAACACTAATAATATCATTTCCGAATGTACTTTATCTTGTAATATTGATTTTATTCGAATTCTAACCGCATCAATTTTTACTCATGTATATAAATGAAGCAGGAAAGTTGTGTGAGTAGTGCCTTGATATGATGATTATGAGTGGAAATGATAAATTGTGCTCGAAACATGGTGGCATCAGTAAATATTACTTACTGTATAACACTGTGTTAGGTTTTTTGTCTAAACTATTCATCTTTGTGTGGTCAGTCATTCTACACTTAACCAAATTCATATGTATCGATAGTTTGACTACCTTCGATCGACTGGTCTAAACTAATGTACTTAACTTCACAGTCACTGTTAGGTATTTTGTTAATAGAATCAAATGCTTGCTACATCAATTCTAATTGAGTAGTGTTAGGAGTGACATGCTGAATGATATGCGTGCTTTTCATCAGACTGTAAATTTTTTTGTATCAAAGCGGATGACCATGAAATAAATTAACCTAGTTAGATAAAGAATTTGCATCGATTTTATTTATTTTTTTAAATGAATGTATTATAAGACAAGGTCAAACATAGAAATGGTCCAATAATGACAAACTATTCATTCACAAGGTAACAGACAGTTGAAATTGATAAGTTAGCCAGTTAATTAAAACTCCGATACTCGGAATAGATTTTTAGTGTACCAGATCTGCTAACCACACTTATTGTTGTGTGTGCAAGAGAGTTCATGATACTATCTAATTGTTCAGACTAAAGGAGGTGGAGGGGAATCCGAATCCAGGGCTTGTTGGTGGAAAGTCAAGTGTTTAAACCAATGAACCCCATCTCCACTGAGATTGTAAATACGACATATTTTAAATCTCTTGACTTAGACCGGAATTGACAATTATACACCTTAGATAATAGATTCCAAAGTTAAGATGCTAATTGAAAAAACCGTGGAGTGACATCGTGCGTCAGATAAACCCTAGAGTGGGACTCGAATGGGAAACGATGAGTTGGGCATGAGTATGAGATTGACACAGAGGAAATTCTATGGAAAGGAAATGTCCGTTAATCATTTTCCCTTCTCCATTTATCACATTTTCTTCTTTTATTAACCATATTTTACTCATGTTGTGACGAATGCTACTGATAATACTTATCAGTAGTATATACAGAGAAGTTCACCGGTCGGCATGAAAACATCAAACAGAAGGGAGATACATTTGATTTCAGAGAAGGCAAATGATGCAGCGTTGCGGACATACATAGGATACATGAAAGGAGCACAAAGAAACACAACATGAAGTCCAGAAGTAACACAACACGAAGATCTGTGCAAATGGTGCGCTGAAGATAAGGTGTACATAATTTGGCTACATATAGATGTTAAATATACAAATGGACATTCCTTAGCCAAGTCTTTCGTCTTCTACCGTTTCAATAGAGAAAAAATCCCCATTTAGACATTAAGAAAACAGAGATTGAGAGAAGAAATATTTACTTTTCAATTAGATCCTCATCTCACTCTGGCTCTACTCTAATATACACGTATAGCATTTTTCTTACAATACACAACAGTTTACCAATCAAGTGGCACTGATATGTTTGTTAACAATAATTAGTCAGTGTCAAAATGTCAATGGGTTGATAATTAACGAAGAAAATCAATACACACAATTAAAAGGTAGAAATGGATAGAATAAATTAATTTTACAAGGATAACACGTAATTAAAGATGAGGTGGTCAAAATAAATAAAAATGAAATAATTTGGACAATTATAATTTAATAGGGGGAGGGGGGCGAAGTAGTCCGGTATACACATTCATGTAACGATAGCCAAGGCAAGGAAAGTGGCTGCACAAATTTCTTCTGAACACACAGGTTTGGCTTGTTCTTCAGGTCGATTCCTATCGCTTCAGCTGTCTGTAGAAGACAAACTCGTGGAGCGAAATTAAGATTAGTCGGAATGCGATAGGTAATTTTAAATGCTGTATTAACCTTAGGCTCAACCTTGTGCTCACTATCTACAAGGTGTGCTAAAATAGAGCTACGAATACATGTTGTTTGTCCTTTGCTTAACCATGTTGGATGATGTTTGGAAATACGATGATGAACCTGCCTAACTGTACGCCCAATGTAGCTGGCTCCGCGTTGTTCACAAACTTATCGCCACTTGATTGGTAAACTGTTGTGTATTGTAATAAAAATGCTATGGCTATATATATATATATATATATATATATATATATATATATATAAGAGTAGAGCCAGAGATGAGGATCTAATTGAAAAGTAAATAATTCTTCGGTCAATCTTTCTGTTTTCTACCGTTTCAATGTGGCAATTTGGACTAAGGACAGTACAACCTTATTTATTCGCTGTTGGTATTCTCCCACTCCCATCTCCCGCCCACCTTAGCACACATTATTAGATATTTCATTGTAAAACAAAGTATTACCAACTTACTGGTTTATCAGTTCGTATACACGCTGATAATTCACACATACTACAACCTAGCGGGTGTTTTGAACTCCTGATAACTTCGACAATCTTCTTTTGTAGACTAGAATCGTCTAAAATTATCCGTTGATTATTCTTTGTCTCTGAAGTGGTAACATTATTATCATGAGGTATTGGTTCAGTTGAGGTTGGAGAACGCATATCATCATTCTTTGGTGTACTTTGATTTGGTTCTTTGCAGAGAATTTCTTCCTTAGGCTATTTTGAAAAAAAAACGGGATAGAAAAGAGGAGGGAAATTTAGGCAAAAAAAGATTTATAAAACCAGTCTTTACCATTTTTTCCACAATTTGTGTGGGAAATTTATATCTAATTTCACACAAACTTGAACATTTACAGACGAAAACCAGTGGGTGCGTACTGTCGATGATTTCCAAAATAGTTGGATGAAACAGTTGTGCAGTACTCCCCGTAGGTTTTCAGTGGTTCTCTAAATGATACCAATCCGTGGTCAAGTATTGGTTTTGTAGGGAATTTTGATTGATTGGAAAACCTGAGAGTACTGGACAGCTGTTTCATCCCAGCCTGGGTCTCTCCATCAGTACGCACCCACCACCAAGGTTCATACACAGGATATTCTCGTTACAAAGTGAGAGAGCTCGTAGACCATTAAGCCACTGGGACCATATACAATGGCCAACCCATGAATTCTAAATTCTGCCAATTCACGACATAGCGTGACCACTTCACAATGTCTCCTTCCATGAATTACTGACTCACCTTCAACCTACTGCACCTTATTGGTCACATGTCATCTCATGATTAAATCCTCCAACCAATCAAACAATAATCCATACAAAACCAATACTTGAAAATTAATCTGATGCTCACTAGCGACTGGCCTCTATTCAAGCAGTTAATCTGGGGTTCTAGTGGGAAGCCGTGACCAGTAGAGTAAAGCAGGTTGAAAGTGAGGCAGTAACTCATCGAATTCATTGGCTGGCCGTTGGATTGGGTCCCAGTGGCTGAATGGTCTACGAGCTCGCTCACCTTATACCCGGTAGGTCCTGAGTTCGAAATCCCTGTAGTGGGTGCGTACTGTCGATGAGATTCAAGCACTCGGACGAAAAAGCTGTATAGTACTCTCTGGTCCTCAGTAGTTCTCCAAGTGATATAAATCTGTGGTCAAACTCGATAACCAACAAGTTGAAAGAGGAGGCAGTGAAGACAGGACTTCAAGTGGACGTGGAACAAAACAGAGGTGGTGAAGATACCTAACCAACGACAACAAGCATCAATTAGTATCAACGGGAGAAATTTGAATGAAGTAACCTCCCTTTCACTTACCTAGGCAGCGTCATTTCAGCCAGAGGCGGCACAGAGATAAAGATGTCAAAGGCAGCGTCAATAAAGCAAGAGAGAACTTCAATACTAGTAAATTAGTGTGGAAATCTCCTGGATTCAGTATAAGAAACAAGATCAAGGACGTTAATACTACTGTCAACTCAATGCTTGTGTATCTTTCAGAAAATTGGCATGCGCGTCACCGGTAACACTTTCAACAGGCTGTAGACTTTCATCGACAACTACCTTCGCTGTCTAGACACCGAAGATCAGATGGCTAGAATGGATAGACAATGAGGAACTCTGTCAACGAGTCAGCTACGAACCTACAGCCCAACAAATATGCAGAAGGAAACGAGGATGGATTGGACATACGACTAAAAGACCATTCAGTAACATCATACACCAAGCCCTCTCTAGTGGAGTTCCAATAGGAAATGAGGAGTTGAGTATTGGCTCAAGGGTGATATAGAGGAGATCGTGTGAACAGGAAATGAAGTCTTATTGGTAGTCGTGGATCCAGCTAAAAAGGACTTCAGAGAACATAGTGAAACGGCTATGTGCTACAGAAGTCTGATGTTCCACCCAGAACCTAAGGGAATAATTTTAAAACTAATAATATTAATTGCATCAATCATAAAGACCTATTCATACACGAAGTTTTATTCTATACAGACGAATCGACAGTAATTGTTTGGGGGATTTAATCATGAGATGACATGTGACCAATAAGGTGGAGTAGGTTGAAGGTGAGTCAGTAACTCACCGAAATAGACATTGGGAAGTGGTCGCGTTATGTCATGAATCGGCAGAAGTTAGAATTGATGGGTTGGCCACTGAATCGGGTCCCAGTAGCTAAATGGTCTACGAGCTTGCTCACCTTGCAACTAGAATGTCCTGGGTATGAACCCTGGTGGTGGGTGAGTACCGGCGAAGAGTCCCAGGCTAGGACGAAACAGCTGTCCAGTACTCCCTGATTGGTTTTCCAATGGTCCTTTAACTGATGTCAGCTCATGATGAAATCCTCCAACCAATCCATCAAAATTCCCTAAAAAACCAATACTTGAACGAAGAAATGTTTAGTTTTCGGTTAACTCCTTATCAATGACTCCATCCTAATGTATACAGAGCAATTTTAATACAATACAAAATCTTATAGGATTTTCATCATGAGCTGACAGCAGCTAGAGAACCATTGGAAAACCTACCAGGAAGTACTGGACAGCTGTTTCGTCAGCCTAATTTGGGACCCAGTATCCACCCACCAACAGGCTTAGAACCCAGGACCTTCCGGTTACAAGGTAAGCGAGCTTGTAGACCATTGGGCAACTGAGGCCCGACTCAATGGTGAGCCCAAGAATTGCACCTTCTATCAATTCACGAAAAAGCGCGACTGGCACTAGCCAATGTCATCCATCCATCTCTGCAAACCAACACTTAAATATTAATCTGACGCTCATTATCGACTGGCCCTATTCAGGTAGGTAGTCAGTTGCCTGGGTTCTCGTGGGAAGTCATGGTCAACAGGGTCCACTAAGTTGAGTATGAGGGGAAATACTCGCCGATGACACTAGCTGGTAACCGCAAAATGTCGGAAGATAGAATTCATGGGCCAGCCATTGTATCCCATTCCAGTGGGTGAATGGTCAACGGACTGACCTCGCAATCTAAAGGTCCCAAGCAAAAAAAACCAATACAATAACTAAAGGGGTAGAAATGTTTCTTTTGAAAAACTAGATGAGCGGATTACATACTTCATGATATTGGGAAAAAAGGTAGAGGAATAAGTGAATGATCAGACTGACTATATGAGAACAATTATAGAGGTGAATTACCACACTCAAGTTCTTTTTGTCAGGTAGTTTTAAAAGCAACCAATGGGAAGTCCTGGAACTAAATCTCCAACTTATTGGCACTAGTAGTCACTAAGATGTATCTGAGACCCAAGGTTGGACTTACTTCTATCATCCCCTGTGATTCAAACCTGTATCACTCAATACTGCAGTCAAAGATGTTACTTTACTACTGAGCTAGTCATGCGACAAATGACCTCCTGTAGGACTGTAATGGTTGCACGCAACTGTTCACTAGAGAGCAATATTAATGACATGCGTCTAATCCTTAGAGTGGATTGAATCACGATCAATCAAATTTACAATGCAACTTCATATCGATTACCTCTAACTGACTTATTGATTTTCAAATAGAACTTATCGCAGAAGCGCATCAATTCAAGTTACCACAATCCATATACCATAGGAAGGTGGAAAAAAGAGAGAAATACGAGATTGAAGAGAATTTTAATAATCAAAAGTATGAAGGAGAAATAACAGTAACATGAAAGAATATGACGGTTTAATAGATCTCCAAGGAAACAAAGACTGAATACATCATCTGTCCTATTGAGAACAGTTTTGAGTCATATCGCCCCCAGTCGTCTCCAACGATTTGCTTTTCAACATCCCGAGGACCCTAACTAGGCGATCTACATTCAAGTATTGGTTTGTAGGGGGATTTGATTGATTGGTTGGCGGATTTCATTATGAGCGGAAATCTGTTAGAGGACCATTGGAAAACCAATCAGGGAGTACTGAACAGCCAGCTGTTTCGTCCCACTAGTTTGGGAGTCCTCATTTGTACGCACCCACCGGGTGGAGTTGGAACCCAGGATCTTCTGGTTACAAGGCGAGCTCGTATACCATTAAGCCATTGGGACCTGATCCAATGGCCAGTCCATGAACTCTAACTTCTGCCAATTCACGATATAGCGCGACCGCTAGCCAGTGTCTTCGACTGGCCCTATTCAGGTAGCACTAGTGGGAAGTCGTCACCAGTAGGGTGCAGCAGGTCGGGTGTGAGGACAAATACTCGCCATGGATGACATTGGCTAGTGGTCGCGCTATGTCGTGAATTAGCAGAAGTTCAAACCAATTGTCAAAGACATCATGGACTGGCGTCAGGTCCATTTAAAGTGTACCATAATATCGAATCACCTAGCCTTATGACCACACTACACACTTGGCTGATAGACTTCAATCAGCAATGAAGACTAGGCATACATGCATGCACACACACACAGATAACATTGATTAAATTCAAATGACCAATCAATGCGACCGCTATTCTATTAGTCTAACTTGACAATTTCTTTTCGCTGACAATTTTTATTTTCGTCTACACATGAACTAATTACATCAAAAATTCATCGATTTATTCAAATTTTCCATGTATGAAATTGTACACAATGTGCAAAAAGGATAGAGAGTGAGATAACAAAATGATGCTTTACAGAATGTACCATAAGAATATGCTAATTAGGATAGATGACAGGGTCTTTTATTTATTTATTTATTCCACTTGCACTTTGATTGCTTTTATTATTCACATGCATAAGTATTCAGCATGTGTTATCATACACTGTTATACGAAACAAGTATTATATTGTGTATAATGTGGGGACATTGCTAAACACAAGATACATCCAATCAGTGTGCAGTTTAGGTGACTGCAAGACAAGACTTTATTGTGGTCTGTATTAGCATATATATATATGCATATATATATATATATACATTTGGATGAGTTGCATTTTTTACCGGATACACTTCATTGAAAAGCGGTTTAGTGTGATGTAAGTTAATTCATTTAGTATTGTGAAACTATTGTCTCTGATATTTTGACACAATCGATCACGGATTGACATCAGTTAGAGAACCATTGAAAACCAGCCACAGGGAGTACTGCCAGACAGCTGTTTCATCAGCCTAGTTTGGGAATCATCGGCAGTACGCACCCACACCACAGGGGTTCAAAACCAGGACCTTCCGGTTACAAGGAAAGCTGGTTCCTATACCATTCAGCCACTGGAACCCGATTCAATGGCCGCCAGCCCATGAATTCAAACTTCTACCAATT